AAACTTGAGAGCTGCTAGGCTCAACACATTTTATTTTAAGAAAAATTTTCAGAAGATGGTCTTTTTTGGAATCATTTTTTTACTCTAAAAAAAGGCAGATCGACTAATTTTTTTCTTTTCCGAAATTTCGAAAAGTGTTTTTTTCACTGACGATGATATTATTTGTTTTTTGATCTTTCTTGATTGAGTAACTCGAACTCACTGAGGAAAATCAAGCAGTTGCGAGGAATTTTTTTGGTTTTTTTTGTCATTTTGACATTTATTTTTCATCGTTTGAACAGTATGATTAAGCTTAAGACTTCTTTTGGTGAAAGACTAAGTTCTTCGAGTTCTTCACGAAACGAACGGTTTCTAAACAATAAAATGTTCTTGGACATCAGCTTTTTAATAAAATGTTTGAACAAGTTATAAAATATCATTACAAACTTTTTCGTCTACATTGATCTCGTAAAATCCTCTGAAAATATGATTTTTTTGGAGGAAAGAAAAATTTTTTTCAAAGCTCAAAGCAAAAATCTCTTTTTTTTTGAATGGCGGAAATATTTTTTTATGGAGTTTTTCAGAATTTAAAAAAATTTAAAAAAAGAAATTTAAAAGTAAAAAAATTAGCGACGTGCAACCTCATGAGAAGCAGTTTAGCCCTAAGAATCGTTTTCAGGCGGCTCTTGCCGGTTTTGCGTCGCAAGCCAATGAAAAAAGGAGATATTACTCAATACCGGGATAAAACAAGCATCCCAGGGTAGAAATAAATTGAAATTAATGACAAGAAATATTGAATCTATTCTTTTGAAGATGACTCCACAGCATCGAACATTAATGGACAAATTAATTATTTTTCCAAAACCCGAATTCAGTATGCGAAAAGTTGTACCTCAAAAAAGCGATTGATCAGTGACAATTGGAATGAACATCCAGTAAGAAATCCCTTCTTCCTTGTCCAGAATTGACAACAAGGAAATAACGGATATTTTCCTTTTCTTGAAATTGAAGACCTTCTTTGGTGTTGCCTTTTGTAACGAAAATCCCGCTCTAGAGGCTCTGGAAGTGAGATTCGCACTGTTCGGACCCTTTAGTGAAGAAAAAAAACTATTTTAAAAACTCACAAGACTTTCAATGCAAACACCGCGCAATTCCTTCTCGGTCTTTCAGCTGTAGTCCTTGGGAAAGTAGTAGAATATTTTCTCTCAGCAAAAAATAACGGCTCCTCCATGACAGCAACCAAAGTTCAATACAGAAAGATGTGGAGGCAATTTTGAATGATTGGGCGTATTTTGCAGAGACACAGCCATAACTGTCTTCTTCCTGATTTTTTCTTGACCTGGATTTAAGGGACCACGTGTAACGTAAACAACCTGCAAACATACGTGGCCGGGTTAGCTAGAGAGCATGGAAAACGCAGAGACATGATGTCTGAACATCTCAATTTTGTCCAGTCTCTAACCCAGCCGCTCATTTTTGCAGGTTATTCCTGGTACACGTGGCCTCACGAGTCAGGGTCAGGAGAAAAATTTGGCGAGATCAGTTTTGCCAGTATCTCTGTAGAAATCGCCCAGTCATTCGAAATCGCTTCTTCTTCTGCTGCTTCTGCCAAGAAATATAGCTAGCGCTTGAGAAGACTTCGGGATGTTCGCATCGGAAGTCTCGTGAGTTTTAATAATTTTTTTTCCACTAGAGAAATGCCCAAACTTAGTGAATCTCCCTTACAGAAACTCTATAGCGAGATTTTCAGTCTCAAGCAGAAGGAAGATATCCGTTTTTTCCTTGTGGAAGTCGCTCTCGAAGATGACCGCCTGGACGTCGTCGTTCTCTCCGACTGTCACTGATTACCCGCTTCTTTGAGGTAAAACTTTTTGCACACTGAGTTCGGATTTCAAAAAAAAAAAAAGTGATATGTCATTTATTACAATGAGAATCAGAGAATTCTAAAATCAGAGAATTCGACCTCGAAACTTTCAGATAACTTTTGAAAGAGAGTCACTGTAACCCAAAAGTAGTCTTCATTCGATTCTTGCAAGTCCAAAGATCGTTGTTTTGTTGTTCAAAAAAGTGAGTGCGTATCTCTGACTTTTTTGGCTGCTTCTAATTTACAATGGCTGTAAATCGTGACCCAGTCGGCTCCAAAGACGGCTGCGTGCCTCTGGGAAGAATGACCTCAAACAGCGATGTGCGAGCGAGAAAAAAACCAAACGCAAGTCTAAAAGTAGTTTGTGCGTTTATAATTCTCTTTTAGCTAAGTTTTGGTCTTTGTAAGATTTCTTAATTCAGAATTACGCTCTCTATATTAATTTTTCTGTTAAAATTACTGCGAACAAGACCAGCAAAAAGGAGTACCATCGGAAATAAAAAAACAAAAATTTTTGAAAAACCCAGAATAAGGCGGAATCCGTCGAGTTTTTGTAGTGCAAATGAAAACGATATTCTGAAAAATTGCACTTGAGATCTTCAAATAGTTATGATATTTCGAAAAAAATTAGAAATCTGTACAGTGAAAAAAATTTTTGCAGCACTCAAAGGCAAAACAGTCGAAGTAAGCTGATTAACTAACACTCAAAGTCTACAGGAAAAATAACAAAATAGAATTGAACGTCCTGTGATTTTTTTTCAATCACCTTCTAAAAACCAGGAAAACTTAGGAGAAGACGTTTCGAAAACTGATATCTTTTACTTTTTTCCTATTTTTGAATGAAATGATTCTATTTTTCGATTCCTGAAAAACCAGAGTTTTTTTTCTCATTCCATCAACCTTTTTTGACAGTTAACCTGAAAGTAACGCGACTACTTTCATTCATCAGATCTCCTCTTAATTTCCAATAAACGACCTCGAAACTTTCAGATAACTTCTGAAAGAGAGTCACTGTAACCCAAAAGTAGTCTTCATTCGATTCTTGCAAGTCCAAAGATCGTTGTTTTGTTGTTCAAAAAAGTGAGTCCGTATCTCTGACTTTTTTGGCTGCTTCTAATTTACAATGGCTGTAAATCGTGACCCAGTCGGCTCCAAAGACGGCTGCGTGCCTCTGGAAAGAATGACCTCAAACTGCGATGTGCGAGCGAGAAAAAAACCAAACGCAAGTCTAAAAGTAGTTTGAATGTTTATAATTCTATTTCAGCTATTTTTTGGTCTTTGATATGTTTCTAAACTCATTTTTTGTTGGAATCGTTGCGAAAAGAAATAAGTCAAAAATAATTTGAATTTTGTTTTCACTTTCTCTCTGTCTACTCTTTTTCTCTTGACAAAATTCAGAAGTTTTGTTTTCAAATTTCATTATCAATAAGCTGATTTTTGAAGACAAAAATGAAATGCGAAAAAAATCTTTATTTGAAATCTAATATTTTTCTTCTGCGAAATACGCAAACTGTAGCCTTTCTAGCCGTCTGCGTCTCTGCGGCAAGAGTGTCTCTCTAACTTTCTCTAATTTTCTAGCTGTCTGCGTATCCGCAGCGAGATAATACTTTTTATTCGAGAATATTCTTTCTCTCATTCATTTTTTTCTTCTTCTACTTTTTATGTTCAATTCAAACTGTCGAACGCTTTCAAACTTGAATAGATAAATCTCTGAATTATTAGACTTACTTTTCGATTTGCTGATGGTCTTTTTTTGTATGAAAGGTTTTAGGTTCACTTTTTTTTTATTTTTGAAGTGAAAGTCCTACTTTTTCAAAATATTACAATTCGAATCTCTGATTCCCATCATCTCAAATAGATTAAAAAAACCTAAAAAAATATTTTTTTAGACTTCAGCAAGTTTTTAAATCATTTTTTTGTTATTACCTCAAGTTATTAACTAGCACCACTTTTTTTCCAAGTTACCAAGCAGAATTTGTTTTTTTAATTCGGATCTTTGATTCTGTTCTTTTTCGAAAAATCTTCTGCAAAAAGTATGAATCGGAAAAACGAAACGGGATACTGATTTATGAAAAACGATCATCTAATTTTTCTGAAGTATTTTTTTCTTGACACAATTTTTTTGCATTGTTCTAAGCTTTTTCAATGACTTTATCAAAATTGAATCTCAGCTCTCAAAATCTATTTTTTCTGAAAAGATATTTTTGAAATTTAGTGGACTACTGCAAAAAACATACCGAGCTAATTTTTTATCTTGGACTCGAATAAAATTTAAAAACCGAGAAAAAGTTTTTCAATAAATTTAGGTAATTTTGGCTGTTTTGAAGCATTTCGAAATTGGAGTATCTCCTCACTTTCTTGATAGTTTTTTTCTCGTTTCTAATCCCATTATTCGCTCTTGAGCGAGTCACTTCGATTTTTGGTCTCCGAGCAAAGATCAGTAGTGGGCGTGTCGGGTCAGCAGAGAGAGTGATCAGAATGGGCGTGTCTCCATTTCATTCATTATTTTGGCTGTCTCGGTGGGGAACGGCTGCTCGAATTGGGCTCTCCGGTCTGCCCGGGACTGGTCACGTTTCTGTGTGGAAGGATGGTCGTCTTCCATCTTTTCCCTGTTTTCGACTGTTTCCCAAATCGTACGTAGTAGTTCTTCTCCTTTGTTTGTTTCACAGTTTTAAATATTTTTTGCTTCACGTTTTTCTCTGGGACAGAATAGTCCAAAATCAAAAGTTTCTACTCTGAAATTTTAAGAGTTTCGTTTTTTGTGCATTTTCCGCTTTATACTTTGGAAAATCAGGAAATGTCCGAAATAGTTTCGAAGCTCCAAAAAAGAACGAAATGTTCATTTTGCCTTTTTTTTTTGTTTTTCAAACCCTTTCATCTTAAATATTTCTGGATCCGCGAAATCTCTTCCTTGTTGATTTTGATTCTTATTCAAATATTTTTCTCGTTTCCGTTTAAAATTTTGCTATGCTTTTTCTCTCGATAAATCGGAAACCCTTTTTCGTCGTTCGCTGAGAATACTTTAGACTAGAATTGAAACTCAGAGTTATTTTTTCTGCCTTAACTTTGTACCATAAAATAAATACTCGTTCGCGATCTTTCAATTTTACGCGATATAATGGGTTTTTTTTTTAGCAAGACTCTGCTGTGAAGAAAAATGACTCCTAAACGTGAGTTAATCATTGATCAAAAATCTTATAATTCAAAGTTTTCAGCGAAAAAGGTGCCACGTCATCAACAAGCTACTATGAGCGTTCGATTGCGCAACCGTTAGCTTTTTTTTATTACCCTCAGACTGAGACTTGACGAGACTTCAAAAACTCTCAAACGAAAAAATGCTATTTTTCAGTTGATTCCCCACAAAGGCGCGCAATCGCCGAGCAGCAACAACACGGACGTGAAGTGCGAGGTTCGTTCAGTTTTTCAATTAAAAACAGCATTTTTGAACTTAAAAAAAGGCAAAGATTTTTTTTCAGATCGCCCCGCTACGAACAATCGTGGAGGCGCAGCTGCCAACGCTCGTCGAGGCGCGCCTGCGAACGCTAGAGGGGGCGCGATTGCGGCCCCAGCCCAGAGGAGACGTTCTCAACGGCTCGCGGCTGCAAGAAACCCTGAGAACGGTTTGTGCTGAGAGAGTATTTGAAAAAATGACCTAAGAAAGAAAATAGCTTGTTTGAGAGCGAACCTCTGGCTGATTTTTGATCCTCGAAGTTCTTCCTTGAAAACTTTTCAAAGTTTCCAGGTTCACTTAGAAACAGGAGATTTTGAAATAAAATTTTAAAATTTCTCTTTGAAACGGAAGCTGAAGTAAGCAAAACTCTAAATTCAGTTCTCGACGGCGGTCGGCCACCTGCCGGCGTTAACCGCAGGCCTGTCGGGGCTGCCAACGCATCTGGGAGTGGACGTGGTGGCCATGGAAATCTTGTCAACCGTGGAGGTCGAGGTGGAGCTGCGGCGGGACAGCGCCGATCTTCGGGAAGACATCGCGCGTCTGCAGGAAGACAGCACCCAGTTCCTGAAGTCGAAGCAGGTCTGTGATGATTTTTTTATTTTTCAGATCCAGACAAGAATAATTTTTTTGGTCTTGAGGTAAATGTTGATAGACAAACAATAATCATAAACAGATAATGAATTCAAAAAAATGCTCTACCGGCAGCTCTTTTTCAAAGTGTTGGCACCGGGAAAAATTTCGCGATTTTTCCCAGAAATTTTTTTCAAATATTTTTTTGAATTGTTATTGATAAATTATCAAAAAAATTTTTGAATTTCAGTTGCGAACATTGATGCGGACCTTCCGCCACCTGCCGATGTTGGCGACGACGTCGGCAGGCCGGAGGCTCAAGTCGTGGAGAAACAGACCGAACCAGTTCCACCGACTGGCCAGGGTGAGTAAAAAAACTTTGACTTTCGAAAGTTGAGCACAAAAATTAGAGCAATGTTTCACTTTAACTGAGAGTTTTTCTTAAAAAAATATTCAGGTTCAGACTCAAAAATTTCCCAGTAGTTCAGTCATATTTCCAAAGAATGAGAAGTAAAAATTCAAAACCTTTTTTTATTCTAATATGAAATAGGAGAAGCAAATAACTCCATGTTTTTTTCCAGAATCTCTCCAAATGCCGCTTCAACGCAACGAAGTATCGGTCCAGACCGAAGAAGTCTTCCGTGAGCCCGAAGGCGCTGTGAGGGTGGTCAACGTGGTCGCAAATGCGCCAGGTAATTTTATTTTTCCAGTGTTTTTGAGTTGTTTGAAGACAAAAACTTCACAAGTGAAAAAGAAAGTTTGTTTCCTCCAACGTTCATTTTTTTTTCAGCCTTTCCTCCACCACGGGTCATTTGGCTGAACCGCCAGCGGTACGTGCTTGACGAAGAAGATTGGCCAAACTCGGCCAGCGTCCGCTCACCTGCCCCTCTGGTCGCCAGCGTCCGCTCACCCGCCCCTCTGGTAGCCAGCGTCGGCAGGCAGGGTGATACCCGTGAGTTACTTGCTTTGCTTTTCGAGCTTGGAAAGTCTTTCACCTAATAGCCGACGTAGGATATTCCAATATTCATTCTCAGTTTTGCTCCGATCATTTCAAACCGATTCTGGATTCAGAGTCAACTATGCGTACGACTACCAACACATCGTCTTCTCTGCTCAGCAGCTCTTCACGTTTCACTACGTCCACCAATTCTTCCCTTCTCACTTCGTCTTATTCGAGCGGTTCGACGTTCACCTCAGGATCGGAGACGACTTCTTCGTCGTTCGACCGCTCGGGAAGCGTTACTGCTCACTCAGACGCTCGATATCAGGGTGAGTGTTCGTTTTATAACTTTTTAATGAACGAGAAAAAAATCTCATTCAACCTGAAAAAAATTTTTTTCAGATCGATTTTACGAGCCGCCAGCGTCTCCGCTCTTTCTCATCAACTCCTTTGGTGGAACCTGTTGCAGCTCCGGTTGTTGAGCCGTCGCCAGTTCCGCTCTCTCAACATCTCCACATCAGTTAGTTTGTTTAAAATCACAAGAAAGCTGTCTTGCATCATATGAATTCACTTTCAACCAGATGCTCTGAAAGAAGTCAATTTTTGAATTGAAAATTTCTTATCAATTTTTCAGGTTTGAAGGATTTCTTCAGTTTCTCAATGTTTGATTTAGAACTCCTTCAGATTTTTTTCAGTTGGAAGTTTTTTTTTCGCTCTAATCGAGAACTTTTTCAGCGCACCGAGTTCCGCCAGACGAGCCGCAGCCGATGCCTGATTTCACAGAGTTCACGTCGGCTGAACGTCTCTACTTCCCGCCGATGATGAATCGAGGTAATCCTTTCTCTTTTGACTTATATTCATATCAATTCTTCTGTGAATCTGAAAGCTAAGATCTTTTTCGTTTCAGTCGTTCAAGAAAATGATGAAGTTGGAGCGGCAGCGCATGAGCACATAACGGTTGGACCGCGTCCAACTCACGCTTTGGTTCCATTCTTAGGTGAGTTAATCATTTTTTTCTGTTTCATTCTCCTGAAAAGTTACCAAAGTTGATTGCAAAATCTTGAAAAATCTTCAATGTGTTTTCAGGAATTGGCAGTGCATCGGACGAGTTTTTGAACCAGTCGAACCGGGTGCCGAATCGCTCTCCTCAGCATGAGACTTTGAACGAGGCCTACGTCGAAACTTCGAACGCCGCTGAGGTATCTTTCTATTTTTCAAAAGAGATTCGACCTTTTTTTAAAAATAACATTTTAAAAAAATTGTATAAGCATTTTTCATTATGAGAACATTTCAAAAGTATTTAATCTCAAATAATCTAAATTTCCTATTTGAATTTGCAAAAAAATTCAGTATTTTTTTGAGTAAAGTTCTATCTAATAGTTGTATTTCCGTTTCAAGCTAACTGTTGAGTTTAAGGAACACGGTTCGAGCCACGACTCCAACCTGCCGATGGCCGTTCTGCCGTCGGCAGGCGGAGCTGATCCTTCTGCGGAGGCGACGTCGACTCATGTAAGTCACTCCGATTTTTTCTAATTTGAAATTAATATAACGTCTTGCTGAAAAGGTTTTGAAAATGGAATTTCACGTAAGTTCCTTACTCGGCTTGAAAAGGCGAAGGAAAATAGACTATTCAATCTGCTGCAGATTAGGATCTCTGCAGAATTTTTCGAAGAGCCTCGGAAGCCTTGTAGAACAAAATTTGCTTGATTTTTCAAAAAATGTTCTGCCCAAAGACTCTTGTGAAATTTTTCGAATGCTGTCCATTATTTTTCTCTTGATTTCTATTAATTTTTTTCAAGGGAAACGACGGTGTCGGCGAGGAAAATGACAATCCTGCACCGGCTGCTGGTCAGGAAGACCGCGGGAATGACGATGGCCGCGAGCAAAACTGAGCAATTCCCGTTCAATTTCACCTGAAAACCGAGTGTTCTTTTTGTCTTACGATACTGGTGTAATTTGCCTAGCATTCTGCAGATTTCATCCTTTTGGATTGCTGTACCATTTTTTTTTGCTTATCTCGCTCGTTCACTGCAGAATGCTTTTTTTTTCTCTCTCTTTGTCTTTGCGTTGCTTTTTCATGCTCGCTTATCGACGTGATTTTCAAAAAAATTTTCAAAAACGTCTTGTGTTCACAATTTGTTGCACTGCATTCAGACACAACGAAAGAAAGTTTGTTCCGAAAAAAATATGGAGAATTTTCTCTGAAACTGTTGAAGAGTCATAGATTTCTTAATATGTGTGGATGTCTGCTTGGGCGCAATTTCACAAACCCTTATTTTGGTTCGAAGAATCCATGAGAAACTTAGAGAGCAGTTATTGAAAAATTTTTTTTTCACTTTTATAGAAACAGCCGGATTTTCTGCTATTACCTTGGTGTGAACTTACGATGGAGCTTCTTGATGATTAAAATACGCAATGTAGTTTTTGTAGCTAATTGCAACTTTGAAGTCAAAATGCCGTGATTGTGTGGGTAAAATTTAACTAGAATTTTAAGTCGAAAAATCAGCGTCCGTGCTTCAGAGAACAGAATTAAATTTGCTGAGAATCTCGAATTTATTTTTCTCCAAGTAAAAGTTTTTCGAAAGGATTTTTCCGTTTCACTTGGAGCCACTTCTTCTTGAATCTTAACCCGAACTGCTTCCCAAAACACTGTTTTGTGTGTGAGAATACCATCAAGCTTTTTAAGGGAAAAAAATAAATAAAAAGTAGTTTTTAGAAAATGATTAGCACACACGAACAGCTTTCAAAACTACAGAATAGCGCTTTTTGAGCCCTTTGCAGATTTTTTTCAGGCGTTTTCAAGATCGTTCAACAAGATGAATGTTGAGTATTTAAATAAGTTTGACTAGATCACGTAAATGATTAGATCACCGAAAAGTAAAAAGGAGATGAAACAGAAACTACCCACTCAACTCAACGCCCTCTCCAATTCCAAATCGGCCTCGCCACCATCGCACAACGACGACAGCGAGTAGCAGCCACCTTCGACTACTTTCACATTCCCAAATAGAAATAAATATTGGGAGTGTACTGTTCTATCCGATTTGCCAACACTTTAAAAGCAATACGGAAAAGTGAACGCACTCAAAATGTGAAAAGCCCAATATCTCTTGTTTCTCAAAAATATTTGAAAGCCTTGAAGAATTATATTTCATTCAACAGTTTATCAAAAGACGAAAAAGACTAAAGTTCTCGGCAAACAGACTTTGGAAACGGCTTCGATAGTTTGATATGCAATAAAATGTAAATAATACAGAAGATGAATGGCAAACTGAATTTTTAGGGGACGAACTTGAGGCACTAGATCACAGACGCAACTATTTCATGACGCCGGCTGTCAAACTTACAGAGAAATAACTACAGAAAGATGAAGATAAAGTTATATTATAGCAAAAAAATATCTATACATATTTATGTGGGATCTCTGAGCAGGATGCTGATTAGAATTTTGTTGAGCTAGTAAGTATAAACTAGGAAGTTTTGGGAAGAGACCAATTTTCAATCTTATAGCGCACATTTGGATGGATGAGCATTTTGGAAGAAAAAGCTGTCAAGGAAAATAAAACAGACCACAACTTTGAAAAACGTTTTGATTGAGAGGATGAAAATACCTATACAGATCTTGAGAGAAATTGAACAAAATTACAATCAAACTATTAGTTAAAGACCATTTTGAAAGGAACAACGTATTTAACTGACAAGAAACAATATATTTTTGTGTGGAACTCTATTATCTCTTCATTGAACAGATCTACAGAATGTGAACAAATACAATGAAAAAATACATTTTCAGAAGGAACGGAATAAAAGACAAAGCCCCCAATTTCGATTGAAAATTTTTTTCCAGAATTTTTCTGTTTGGCTTTTACCAAGTTTAAAAAAATTTCCGAAGAAGGTCGCTTTTTCGGTTTTTTTGAGAGTTGTCCATGACTGAGAAAAAAAGAGATGGAACAGTGTTCTGTAATGAAAGCTACCGTAAGGCTCAAAAAACTTTCAATCGAGTCTCGAGGGCTTTTCAAATCTTGTATTTTTGCACTGCCTTTGTTAGCTAAATGCTTTGGAAAAAATAGAAATTTGGAAGAAAAACTCGTGAAAACTAGCAAAAGGAAAATACTCTAACGAAAGACATATATACTTTTTTTGTTTGTTGGATCGCATCTTTCAAATTGCGGGAAGAAGTTAGATTGATTGCTCAAAAAAATATCCCCATCGATCAAACTAAAAATTTCTTTTCAGAAAACTAAAATTTTCAAAATTGATGAAATTTTGCTTCCAAAAACTGTTTTTCCTCAATTTAAGAACTCTTCATCCTTCTAGAACTTATTAATGGGGAAACGCAGATGCAATCCAACAAAGTCCGAGTTTTCTGACTACTTCTGGACTTTTTTTGGGGGTCAAGACGGTGGTTTTGTCGACGTCTGAGGGGCATTTGAAGGTGCGTCCAGCAGCTGAAAAAATGATAATTTTGGAATAGATTCTAAAAATCTCAGACAAACATCATTGATGAACTTCGCCATGATGAAGGATTTGTCGTTGCGAGCCATTTCAAGAAATGGCATTGCCAGAAGCTCCGGATACTTTGGCCGTTCGTTATAGTCTTTTTCCAAACTGTAAAAAGATGGAATATTCATGGTAAATTTGAATAACAAACGGAACTTTTTTGCTGAAACTTTTTGTTCTTTTGCTCTTTTTTTTCGTATGAATGCCTTTTTTTAGAACTTCATAGTGCATTTCAGGTTGAGATATTATTTATCATCAGGAAAATTTCAAGCCAAGTCCAACTTTGATAATTTTTTGGAATATTTTTCCCAGCCAAAATTGAAATTTTCCAGTTTTCCATCTTTTTTTCTTCATACAGTACCGGCCATAATGGTATTTCAAAGTGGTTATTTGATCATAACTTCTTTGAAAGTGGCTCAAATGACTTGAAACTATGCAAAGATTTCAAGCAGCTAATCAGTAACTCATTTCTAAGAATAAATTTGGTTTGCTCAAGTCAGACCAGATTTGTGAGCAAAAACCCGAAAATCGTTAAAATGAAAAATTTTCTTGAGATTCGAAAAGTCATATTTTCAAAGAAACTTCGATTTTCAATCAGAAACTTTTTTTCCTTGTAAAACAAGGTTTCGGCTTTCCAGAAAACCTAATCAGCCCCATACCAACCCGATAATAATTGCTGACTCACCATCTTTTCACGAAATACTGACAATCCAGCGTGAACCCGTCCCTTGGAAGCTTTGGTGGTGGCTCTTTGACTACCTGGACTTCCAATGATTTTTAGGATCTCTTGAGTCAAGAAAAAGACCTGTTTTAATTGCTCGAACGGAGTTTTCCAAGTGGAATATGGGTGAGTACCGGTAGCGATTTCTACCTGAAAAATCAAAAAATGAAAAAGTTACATTGTCTATTTTTGGTCGTTGTATAAGCTAGTTTTTGCAGTTTTTTCTCCACTCTATCCATTATAATGAATGTCATAAAAAACTCCTTGAAGTCACATGAAATCTCTAAACGTCATTTGAATAAGTTTTTGGAACTAACAGCCATGTTCACTCAAAAACTGAGGATTTTCAATTTTTTCTTTTCAAACCTTGTCCAGTATAAAGTACTCTTGGTCAACTCTAAAAAATCTACCAATAATTGAGGAGAATTTTTCACCCTCAAATTATTTCAAAAGAGGTTGAAACTAACGATTGTGATGCCCAGGCTCCAAACGTCAGCTCGGACATCGTAGGCCGACTTTGTCTCCCCATCTATCCTCTCGGGAGGCATATAAGGTTTACAGCCGGCTTGAACAGTCTGAACTCACTATTTTTTGTCATCGAAAAGAAAAATATCCTACCTTCGCTAAACTATTCGTCAGATGACCGGAAATTCCAAAGTCACATATCTTGACCTGTCCATGCCGGTTCAAAAGAATATTGGAGGGTTTGACGTCGCGATGGATGAGATGCATCTGTTCCTTCATGAAATTCAGCCCTTCGACCACAGAGAGGGTCATTTTAGCGATGAAAAGTTCTGGGACACGTCTGCCGATCCGATAGATCTTCTTGTAGAACTTGTCCAAAGAAGTGTCCATTACTTCCATGCAAATCCAGACGTCGCCTTCTCGGAACATGGCTCCGTAGAACCGGACCATCTTAAGAGATAGAATAGGTTCGAATTGGTAAAAAGGATATAAAATGCTGGGAGATTTGTCTTATGTGAAAAATGCTTCAATGAAAACCTTGCTTCCAAGTGAGATTATTTTTGCAAGATTCTCACTCTTGATGCACATTCTTTTCCAGATGACTAGAAAATTCTGATGGAATTCGTTCAGCACCAACCTGAGGGCAGCAATCGCTCCTTTTACATGCTTCGAGTTCAGTAAGCATCTGCTTTTGCGACTGATCGTTTATTGATGATTTTATCCTCTGAAAAACGGTTAGAAATTTAAAAGAATCTGGAGACTGAAAAAAATGATTTTTTTGAGAATCTTTTTGAAAAATTGGGGTTTTTTTAAAAATTGCTTTGAGACTGCAAAAGTTATCGGGAACTTTTTTAAAAAAAGATAAGAATGAGAAAAAAATTTTTTTATTAAAAAGTAAAAAAAGAACGTTTGTGGCAAGATTAAGGTTTTTTTCACTCAACCACTCTCTAAGCGTTTTTGAATGAGATTCTTGTATTTCAAGCCAAAAAAATCTAGTTCCGGAATCATGAAGTAAGTTTCAAATTTTTTTGAAGACTATATTTCAAAATTTAAAAAAACTTCAAAGAATGATAGAATAATTTGAAATGAAAGTTTCAAGCTTGTCCACTGAGTCTTCTCTTTTTTTCTAGTATTTTCTCCCCTATTCATCCTTTTTTCCGTCAAAAACTAACCTTCACCGCCATTATGATACCACTCTGCTTGTGTTCCATTTTCTCAACGATGCCGTACCCGCCTTTGCCGAGTTCTTCAATTACCATCAAATCCGTCGCGCAGATGTCAATCTCATCTGCCTCATTGGTCAGCCTACAAATAAAAAGGTTATCTTCAGCCTGATGAAAGCAAACAATATAGACTACTTATGAAAAAGTTGCCAACTTTTTCAGAGGAGTTTTTTTCTTGAATAGTTATTTTAAGGGTGTTCAAAGCTTCATATTATAAGATTATTGAAACTTTCGGGCTGTTTCTAATCTAACTTTACGCACGAAATGAATAAAAAAGTTTTTTGGAACCCTTTCTGGAGTCCCGAGAGAGTCAAAATGCACAAAATCAGATAAAAAAATTGGCGTCTCTTCTCAAATTTTTTTGGAGGCAGAGAGTTCCTAGATCTTACTCAAAAAGATTTTTTTCAAAAATCTCACCTAATCAAGATCAAAAGCCTTTATGAAAAGTAAAAAGATGAAAAGAAAAAAATTGTGACAGAATATAACGAACTTGATCTTGCATCTGTCGTCGAGATTCATCGTTGGCGTTTCCAAGGGATTCGGCATTTGCAGCTTCACCCCACCCGGTAATTTTCGTTCACGCCCTGGAACTCACTCCGTTTTAAAACACGTTCTTTTTTTTCGAATTATTCCACCGAAAAAAAAAATGGAATACTCACGTGCCATATTGTCCCGTCTGCGTTTCTTTACATCAATGTACAAGGGGTGAAACCTGAAAAATAAATTGATTGAGAACAATAAAAAGATAATCTTTGAAAAAAAATAGCAATTTGCAATCTTAAATTTAAGCGTGAGAGTTTCTAAATTGAAAACTGAAAAAAAGCAGAGAAAAAAATATTGGAAATGCCACTAAATGAGCTTTTTATAGCCAAGAGATTCTTTCAAATCCTGTTGAAATAGAAAAAGTTAAATTTTTGGAAGATTATTGTAATTGAGAGAACGTTTCTTGCTAAAACTAAAAAAAGATCTAAAGAAGCTCTCTCGAGCTCATTTCCATTCGAAAATACTTCGATGGTTGGCAAAAAATTTTTCAGGGACAAAGCGTTCGGAATAGCCACAACTCGTTAAGGGTTCGATGAAGCCGAGTGTGGCTCGAGAGCTTTTTTTATCCGTCGAGTCTGAGTGTCTTCCGCGTGCGTCAGGAACACGTTAATTGAGCAGGACAATATACTGCTTGAAGGAACAAAAAACACGCCAGCCATGTTGAACCATAGCGCATGACATATCAAACTCATCATTTTTATTTTTTCAATGGCTTCTAGAAAGGGCATAAAAAGTACATATCCATTTTATCTATGTATTTTTGATTCCTATACAGACGTAGTAGAACAAAAATAATTGACGTCTTCAGCGTGTTTTGATTCTTTTTGACAGGTTTCACGAAAGGCTTCCTATGTTAAATGGATATTCCAATGTTCTCTTTTTATGACAGAGAACGTCAAGAATAGACTTTTTGAAAAGAGCAGAATATCACACCGTTTCTATAGTGGAACTTTTTTTATTCGGAAATCTGAACGAAAAATGTTCACTTAATAGAAAAATTTGACTTGATTACAGGAATGAAAAGTTTTTATGTGAGAACAGGAGCGGCTAGCGTTATTCAAATGTTATTTACAAGATAATTTTTTTTAACTGGGCCTCAAAATACGTTCATACAAAGAACGTTATTCACGCGTAGGCTCTAGAGTTCGTGATCTCGAATTTATGTTCTCAATAAAACTCTAAAAAAAATTTGTACTTATCCCGAAAAAAATTCAAAAAAAGGAGTTTCAGGTTTGTTAGCGCCCTAATTAAACTATCAAAGGCAGAATTGATTAAGTACAATATTGGTCCAAGAAACCTTAAAGTTCATCCATTGAGTTCAAAATCATAGCTTCTCCATCCTCATTCTGATGAAAAGTTCAAATTAAAAACTTTTCTCGGTTTTTTGATTCTGTAAGTGGAACTAGATGACAAAGGTAAGAGTAGAAATCAACAAAAGACTGGGTTTCATGGGCAAATACGCGCTGATTCATCGAAACGCCTGCCGTATAAGGCGTGAAAGCATGTCGCAAAACCAGCTGTGTGACGTCAGCATTAAAAGAGTTCAAAATCAAACAATTATTGGCATCTTTTTAAGTATATCGCGGAGAAACTGTTTTTTTTTTGGAACTTTGGAAAATCAGCAGTTCGTAGGTGGGAAAAATTTCGACCAGAAAAGAGAAAGGATGACAAAAGGAAACTTTTTAATGACACTTGTCAATTGCTGTCATTTTTGATTGGTGTAGTCATTCTTGCAGAAAAATAACACAGAGTTAAGTCGCTTAGGCGGACACAAACCAGAAAGTTTAACCCCATGAAGGTCAACAAACAAAAAGGTTGCTGTTTGACAAGTTTTGCTCGAGGAAAAATGACCGAGGCTCGAATTCATCTATGAAATGTGGTGAGAGGTCATTGGTAATTTTCTGCAAGAAAAATGATAACGAAAATGATAAAGTTAAGGTTTGAAAAAGTTCAGAAAAGCATATTTTATCAAAATAAAGTTGCCAATGTTTTCACAGCGAAAAAAAATTTGAACTTGCTTAATAAAATGGAGCCAAAAAGAAAATTTTTTGAGGGAGGAAAAAAAGCTTATCCACAGGGGATATAATCTCAATCCATTACAGAAATGAAAAAAAAGCAAATCTTCTTGATTTTTCTCTCTTGTTAGGATTCTATCTGAAATATTAGTTCTGGGAGCTGTAACTAAAATTCCTGGCGGTCACTCAAAAATGAGATTTCTCAGCCCTATGACAGTCTAAAAACTTCATTGAATTTGTAGATAAACGGGGTACAGCTCAAATATTCCTGGTATCTTTTGCAAATCAAGTAAATAACACGTCGAATGATGAACAAGCTAGATAAATAGTGAGATAGAAGATGTACTCAAAGCTTAAGACAGTTGGCAGGAAAAGAAAAAGAGAAGAAAAAGAAGAAAAAAAGGTTTTGACGCGTAGCCAGCGGGGGCAGCACCACGCAAAACAAGTGCTTGGCCGACGGGCGAAGGGTACAACGATCGATCGGAGTACCAATAAGGCGAATGAAAACAATTGGCCACGGCTTGTTATCAGTCACTGATACAGTTCGCCTTCGAATTTTCTCAACCAATTTTGTAGTTGGCTAGAAAAGTCAAGAACATCTTTTTGGTGCGATGTTCCGACCTGAATATTTTTCAGAAACTTTTCTTTTTGGTGGGTGAAGGCGTAAAGCGAAAAGAGTACATTCAACGCTGGTTTGAAGCAAAATTTAATGAATCTGTTTGTTCGGGGTAAGCTGATTTTTTGACAATAAACAGAGGGTTGATTGACTGAATAATAAAAAAAAAGGTCTCGAAGCAACTCATTTTTTGTGATTCTCATTTTTGAGACTTTTAGCTTTGAGACCTTCTAAAGCTCAGCTAGGATTTTGAAGTAGAAAAAAATTATCAACGAGAAAGCAATTTCAGTCATTTTTGTTCAAAGTACTGGATAGGCCATTCAAAAAGTTCACTGAAGTTTTTATTTGGGTAAAAAAAACTCAATGAAAACTTTTGAGCCAATTTTACTATGATCCAGGCCTTTTGAAAAATCTTTTATAAGATAAACTCAAGCTTAAAAAATGGTGAGAAGCTGGAAACAAGAATAGGGTATTAAGAGCAGATCAGAACAACAGGTGAAGTTTTACCTCATAGGAATTTATCTCAGAAATCATTTCTTGCATACGTATACGGAACGAAATTTCAAAATAACCTTTTCAAGCTTTGAGAAGTCTTGTCTATACCCTACAGGTGAAAAGTCCTTAATCTTAGATTCTTACGAAAAGTTTCAAATTGGAACTTTTCATTTTTTAAAAACAGTGAACCTTTTTGGAGTAATTTTAAAATCAACAGAATTTTAAAAGCAGCCCAGATTTTTCAAGAGGTTGAGCAGTTTTCGGAGACTTCAGGTTCGAAGGAGAAAGAACAAATGTCCAGATTTTGGAGTTGGAAGAAAACGTTCCTGTCCTATAGTTCAAAGTACAATTTACTCTGACTGGAGACCCTCCCAACCGCTGATTTTTTCAGCGTCATAACTAGGCTAGAAGGCATAAATGCAACCAGAAAACCTGTAAGAATATTTTTTCATATCTCATAAAACTCTTAAAAATCCTTCGAAAACACCTATTCTTGTAAGAGCTTATTCCAGGAAACTCGGAATGACCACCTGGCCCAAGAAAATTTAGAAGAAACGTTTTCGTACCTTTTCGAGGCTCTTAATCTGGACTATACACACCTCCACCTCTTCTCTCTCGATATCAAGCTCAATCATCAAATTTCAAATACTCTTGAGCTGCTTTAGGGTAAATTGACTTTGCTTATTCGGAATACAAAACGCCGAGTAGACTGGCTATATTTTAGTGAACTAATTGGAAAGAGAAATTGGAAAAAGTACAAATTCGAGATTGAGTCGGGATTAGGCAGACTGAGTCAGTGGGCGGTTTTAGAGCTGCTGGAAAGGCGTTGTGAGCAAAATTCCTGCTCATGACACGTTTTTTGAGGTGCTATGATGTTTTCGTGAAATTTAATGAGTGCCGACTTGCATGCGAACTTGTCGTTCTGAATCTTATTAGACTAATAAAACCAGCAAAATACCTGGAAGTGATATCATGGCTCCTTTTGGGATCAAACATTCCGGACTATTTGGGAAAATTTTTCTGCAGGTGGAATTGAAAAGATCGACTTTTTTTTTACAAAGTATCATTTTACTCGAAAAATTAGTGAAAAAAAAAGAAGAATAGTCCAGGAACGCACTGTTTATCAGTTTTTTTCCACGAATAAACAGGCCAAGACATAATCGGATGAACTGTGATGGAAGCAAACATTCCAAGAAACATCTCGGACAAGAAATGAATGGATTTCTGTCTGAAATGTCAAAACCAACAATCTTTTTTGCCACGTTTCATTCAATAATGGAACGCTTCAAAGTGCAATAGAAGGGTTTTGAAAGGAAGGAATGTTCTCGGCGTTTCAAAAAAAGAAGCTGAGAGAGGGAATTAAAATTTAATAGTAGCCACTGGATTGAAAGAATTTTACATGGTGGTTAGAAAAACTTGGTTCGTTCCCAAGAGTCCACACACGAATTACACAGAGAAAAAAGAAAAAAAAATTCAATGATTCTTGTTTCAGGAACTTTTGTATACGACTTTTTTTTCAGGAGTCGTGCTTTGAAACAGGAATGAAAGATAAGCAGACTTAAAAATCTCGATTTTTTTTAGGTTGTTTAAAATTTCTCGAAATTGAATTGTACTGAAAAGTTCAGAAAAGGAAAAAAGCCAAGTAGCGGATTTCTGATCTGTTTTGAAATTTAGTAAAATTTGAAGTCTTTTAGGGCTTTTCAAGAAGAAGCAAATAAGACTTTTCCAAATTTTCAGGCTCCTTGAAGAGTTTCCTAGAAGAACATCCTGGCCTCCACTAAAACTTGCAAAAAAGGCCTCTATAGCGGCGTTTTTACGAACTCTGTGAGAAGAAACATTTCCATGGGCAAAACTTGATAAAATAGCGTCATTTGAATTGAAGATGTCGACGGAGACTGATTTGATCAAGTTTGTCTTTGCGATTTTCAATTTTGAACAAACATTTTTAAAAAACCATATTGGGACCACTTGAGCTCTAGGACCTTATGGGTTATTCTCCTAACCCCTATAGAGACCACACTGGAGCTCCCTAGAATATTCAAAAACTTTTGCGTCAATAGAATCGGGATTGGTTCGATTCTTGGAAAATGAGAAATTCTTTCACATTTATGACTAGAAGGGGACAAATATTTTACTGAAACCTCAAAGAAAATTTTAAGCCTTCATTTCCAACGGTTTTAAACTCTGAGATATAGGTTCAAATGTGTCCTAAATTTTGCCTCACATTGTACTGAAATTCTGATTTTTGAGGACAATTTTTAAAATCCTACCAGAACAGAAGCCTTGGAGGAGCTCGCCAGGTGGTTTTCGACAAAAAATGAATGAGAAAAAGGGAGAGAAATTGTAGGATCGTTGCCTACACGCCCAAAATTAGAGCCTGCCTTGAAAAACGAGCGGCAAGGCTTGCGTGAAACCAATCGCATTTTGCAAGATAAATGTGGCGGTCTTCAAATGAAATGGGTTTGCATGCACATAATTCCTAGTTGGCTGCTAGATGTGCGCATAAATTTGAAAAGCGTTTGGCTACAAAAATTGGAAAAAATTCTTTTTTCCGGACTTTATAATGAATAAATGAATGAATAAAAAACTATCACTTACGTTTGGGAAAAGCTAAAAAACTTGAAATTTTCATACTAAGTTCAGAAGACGTTTGGCTCGAAAAATAAGTAAATTTTATTTTCCTGACGGTGAAACGAATGAAAGAAAGGCAAATATTTACGTCTGATAAAATGTTCACAAACTGATATCTTTTTTTAGTATTTACACTTTGTTTCCGGTCTGAAATTTGTTATCGGATGATAAGAGTTCAAAACTGTAAGATGAACATTTTTTTCAGGAAATATCGATGAGATGGACAAAAAAATAAAGCTTCGATAATCTTGCTAAATGAAATAACTGAAAGTTTGTGGTTGAAGAGCCTCCAAAAAAAACTAAAATTTTTTCGAAAAATTCCGGGTTTTTTTCAAAAATCCATTATAATAATACAAACAAGCAAAAAAATCGCTATTTTTTTGAAAAAAATGACAAAAAGTTTGAGTGTTTCGAAGGGTCTTGAAATAATGTTCCTTAGATTTTTCTGGAAACACTGAATCTGAAAAATTAGTTTCAACATTTAGAGAAAGAAAAAAAGTAAAATTTGAAAAAAACAAAAATTTAGAAAACTTTTTCACGACTTTCTGAAAAAAATTGAGAGAAAAACTCAAGCTGACAAGAATACAAGTATAACCAAAACCTCGAGAAAAAAACCAATAAACAATACTTTTTTTGAAAAATTTGTAAAGTTCATTTCCAAAAAAAATTTTAAAAGGAAATCAAAAAGTTGAAACCAACACGGAAGTTTGAAAGAGAAGGACAAGACTTCCAACAAAACATTAAAATCAAAAATTGACGGCTTTTTCAAAATTGACTATGAAAAAAAAATTGAAAATATTCCTAAATGAGTGATAATTAATCAATTTCAATCAAACTCAACCAATATTGATCTAAAAGTTAATTCTCAGAGCAATTCTCAAAAGACCAGAGCTATCCGATATTCAGCTTCTTCTCACCAATCCCAAGAACACAAAGCGATATTTCTCCACAACAATAGCTTTCTCAAGAAGATTCACGAAAAAAAACCTCGCGGCGTTAAAAATGCATGAGATGGGCCGAGCCGAGCAGAAGGAGCTTTTCGATTATAGGCTACCGTCGAAATAAAAGAAATAAATCTAGACGAAACGGATGCAATTTTGCGCCGCCTTATGGACGATACATAAATTTCGCGGAACGATGAGCAGAAAAGGCGCAAATTATGTAGAAAAAAATGAGCAGAACACGGTGAAAAATGAAGAAATTATACAAAGAAGCGCGGTTTCAAACATCTTGGCTTAAAAAGGGGAAGATGAGAAGAGGAAAAAGCGGAGGTGAAACAGGGATGCGCAATAACAAACCCTGATCTCTGGTCATTTGGAGGTTCCGCTCGAATGCTAAGAAAAACTCAGAAAAAAAAATTTCTAGCAAAAAAAAATGTTGAAAAAATGGTTTTGAAAATGAAAAGGGTGATTCATTTTATGAACACATACTGGTTCATTAAAACGTACTGCCGCCGTCAATGCAGTTGGCAAAGCTCCAACTGAGGTTACGGTGGCATGAGTTCGGCTGTGTCTTTCAAGGCGACCTTTAATAAGAGAGACGCCGCGTAAATCGAAAACAACTTCTTTATTTTTGTTTTGCTTTTTTTTCAGGTAAATAAGCCTAGAAATAGATTCTCATCTTGTGGTACTTTTTTAAATTTAAATTCCGTAAAACTTTCGATGAGATTCCGTCGATTTTCCAGCTTTCTTCTTAGAGTTTGTTATATTTTCTAAAATGTATCATCTCGAAGTTCGAACTTTTAATGATTTGCAATTGGAAGATTAAACAGAAACAAGTGCAAATTCAGCTGATACGATAAAAACCGCAATTTCTAAAGATAAAAACTGCAAAGTTTGCTCACCACGCACTCCTACGCAAGAATAGAGAAGATACAAATATTGAAGGCTAATTTGATAAAAAGAAGGCAACCAAACAAGACCTAAAAATAGGAGAAAAGCCTGAAAAGATGCAAGGCTTCAAGAGTGGTAAATAAAGGGGCTTTCCTGTGAGCTCGAATTTTCATTTTATTCGATACTCTTTTTTTTCGGTTTTCCACACGCTTTCTCTTTGACGCAAATTATTTTTTTCTTTCTTTCCGTGTCTAGAGAGGGCCAATTATCTCAAATTTCAAGCCGTTTTTTTTTGCGAAAAGTACTGGGCGCTATCTTACAATTGTGAGTTCTTTTAATGATTGCTTTAGAAGTAAATTGTGGGGAATGGATTTGTTCCTGGTCCTTTTTGGGCAAAGTTTCTCTTGAAAGCTTTTTTCTTTGTCTTCCCGCGCTTTCTCTTTGACGCAAGTAATTTTTCTTACTTTTTTCTCAAATTTCAAGCCATTCTTTTAAGCCTACTCCTTAAGCCTGAGCCATTAGGAAAAAGCACATTCTGAGGTTCGAAAATTGTCTTCATTTCTGGAAATCACTCCTCACTCTTTTTCTCAAAGTTATTTCAAGCAATGTTTGGGAAATTCTTGTTTTATTTTCAAAATTTTCAGGGAACCTCAATGGAAACATCGCACAGAGAACGCCTGGACACCGGATGTACAAAAGATAGCAGAGTCAGTTTTTTTTTTGAAGCCAATTTATTTTGATACGGTTTTCAGGACTCTGGAATTGATATGCGAAGAAGAAGGGTCAAAAAAGAAAGAACCGTTTTTTTCGACAAAGCCCCCGAAAGTTCCTAAGTCAGTTCGAAGACAGGTTGAAGTAGGTTTTCTCTATCTTCTTACTTTCCTATTCCTCGAAATATAGAAAAAATGCCATTTTTCTCAGAAATATCCAAAACGAGTAACGCTAATCATACATTTTGTTTGTACCTGGCTTGATACTAAAAAGGTCACTAAACCTTTTTGGATGGGGGGGTCTTTTACGTTTCAAATCGAAAATCAAAAAACCTCTCAAGCTTCAGAGGCGTAGGGACCAGATTTTAAACTATTCTTTAAACCATCTAAACTTCAGCCTCCTAGAGAGCATTTTTCTGTCCAATATAGAAACTTTCTCTTGCCCCCTTTATCACAAGTAAATATTTGATTACAGTTTCAAATCGATACCTTCCTATGGTTCTTGGCCTTCTGTCTCACCGTTTGGTTTTTCCGGCTCCCTTTATCCATCTGGTTCAGTCCCAAAGTTGATTGGTGAGTGAGAAATCGCAGCGTCTCATCTTAAAATCATCTTTCAGGACTTTTGTGAATCTCAGCCTTTTGGCTTACTTCATCTGGCTATGTTCTGGAGCCTACATGCTGGCCAGGAATCGGACCACTCGATTTTGGTACAAGAAAAATCCGTCATTGTTCTACACGGCTTGGGCGTCTTTTGCCGTCGGCATGGCCTTGTAAGCTGAATTTGAATTTTTTTTTTGGACAAAAATAGGCGGAGAAAACGGGTTTTTGTGGAATTAAGATGAGGTCGTGAATTTGCATAATTCAGAAAACTGTCATGAAAAAAATTGCGTTCTTTTTAACTTCTCAAAATGATAAACGCCACTTCAAGGAAAAAAAAATTTAAAAGAGTCTTCACACTACCAAAAAATTATTTCAGCATTTTTTTGTCAGCCCTGTTTTTAAGATTGAGTAGAATTATGCTTTTCTGGGCGGTGCCCTGGTGATTCTGAAAAAATTTAAAAGTTTGCTATAAATCTTATCAGATGCTTCAAATCACCAAAAATCTTGAAGATCGAAACATAAAAAATTTCAGATTCTCCCTCGGTACTTGGAATCTTTTTGGATGGTGGTCGATCTACATCGCCGTCGTCACATTTGCTTTTTTCTTCTCTTTTACCTCAATTATTTGAATTTTGTAGAATATTCATTCTCATCCCAGTGTTCTTTGTGCTCTACTACGGTGATAGCAACATTTTCTTCCATTTTTCGATCTCTTTGAACCTTTCGATTGCTTTAATCTGAGGATATTTGAAATAGAATTTGGTTTCAAACGTGTATATTTTTGTATTTCATCGTACTGCTGCAGCTGAATCTCACAAATGTTATCAGATACTGCCTTAAAAAAAAACTAAAATGAAGATTTCCATAGCAAATAAATATTTTCTTGAATAGGCCTAATCAATTTGTAAAAAATATTGAAACAACTCACATTTTACGAGCCAGGAGTCTGGACATCTCGAAACGTGGGAAATAACTAAATGAGAACAAACTTTGGGCACAATGAATGAAGATTATCGTTGCCTCGGTAACTGCAAATCATGTATTTTTCATGAGTTTATATAGAACACAAAGGCAGCAGGAAAAAATGAAAAAATGAGAAAAATTCTTTTTTTTCTGCAAGAAAAAGATAAACACTTTTATTGCGTTTAGAATTCTTTTTTGGCTGACGTGAAACTATTTTTTCGGTTTTGATGGGAATTATATTCATTTTCAGCGATTGAAATTGTATTTACGAGAAGGAAAAATAGAACATAATTTTTTTGTTTTTTTCATTCCCTTCTTGAACTTTTCACAAAAAAATCTTTGTTCAGATTTTTATACTGACTTTATTTTTTTCCAGAATTTAAGAAGTTTCAAGTTGTGAAGTTAGCTAAGATTTATTTTTTTCTCATAGAAGAAGTTCAATTTGAACATTATCCAACGCCTTCTAAACAGTTTTTTTCTTATCATCACTCTGCAATTTTTTTCCACAAGTATTCTCTCCTCCCTGTTTACTTTTTAAAAAAACTTTCTAAGTTTCAAAGTTTTTTTCAAATTTTTTTCTTAAGACATTCAAATTAATATTATTTGAAAATTGGCGCTACTTTTTGAAAAATGAAGTTACTTTTCAGTTACTTGCTTTCGAGGAACTTCCCTGAAATTTTTTTCCATTAGTTCCGAATGATCTTGATTCATTAACAAAACTCTTCAACTTCAAAAGTTTCTCTTCTCTTTATAAAAAAACCTATCAAAATAACAGAGGCCCGGGAGGAATTTCTGCAAATTTTCGGAAAATGCAATTGGCGCGCGGTTTTCGGCAGTAAATGGGCGTAGAGACGCGAGGCTCCCATATCGTTGTTAAGAAACTTTCCCACGTTTTGTATTTTAATCTAGAATCCATCACTTTAACCGACTCATTTTCCTCGTGTGTGGAAATCGGTCTTATTCTTCTAAAAAAAGACTTTTTGTACAGTTTCTCGTTTTTCTTGTTTTCATAGTTATGAGCAAATCTTTCGATAAAATGTTTTTTTGAAACTTGTATATTTTAAAACAACTTGTAACGTGAAATTTTTTTGTTTTTCTGCGATAATCAGTATAAAAAAAGAAGTTTATTTATATGTTAGCTGACTTTTTTTAAAATAAAGCGATAATAAAAATTTTTTTCTTACAAATCAAGTTTTTTTGAGTAAAAAAATTTTTTTCCATTTATTTTTTTAACATGATCAATTAGAAACGGTCAACTATTTTTTTCACAGTTTTTAAAATGGATAATATTCAACAAATACATGGTTAAAATAAAAAAAAGTTTTTCTTTTTATATTCAGTTTATTTTTTTGGATAATAGACGATAAATTCTGAGACCAACAAAAAAATAATTTGAGCTGGTTAACATCTCCTTGAAAGAAGCCTTATCAAACATAAAACGGTGTTTGGGAAAAATCTTCTTCAGCCACAACCAAAAATATTTTTTTGTGCCGCTCAAACAGTTGAAATTATTTCAGACCATAGTAATTCGGACCAAAAATATTTTTTCATGCTTCTTGACTCTGAGCCAAGTTATAGCCCTTCAAGTTTTAAACATGATAATTGCTGTAAAAATGTGAGAAATGGACGTTTTGGGCGTCTTCGAAGTGTCAAAACTCGACTAGGGCGCAAGGGGCGTCATAGATTCCTTTTTGGTTTGATTCTCAAAGATTTAAAGAGCCTCTCCAATTTTTTAGGAAATGAATTTTACAAATGTTATACAAACTTCTTTTCGAAATGATTCTTAGCTTTTTGATTGCCGCCCCGTGAACGATTGTATTATTTTTTTTTTCAAGATAACTTGGTTGTGCCATCTGAACTTTTGCTTCCTTTCAGCATCGTTATACGCTTTCAGTCAGCCTCACAATATTCGAGTATTCTTATTTCTTCATTTCTATGCCCTTTTTCACCGCCCTTGATCTTTAGCGTCTCCAAAAATAAACTAGCTGTTTCAGAAAAGATGCTGCTCCAACAAATGATGGCCAAATCGCAGAATGCGCAAAGAACTCTCTGGATCGGCGACGTTCCCGCAACCTGGGATGCCGACAAGCTTGAATCCGTCTTCGTGGTTTGTTCTTTCTGACATATTCTCTTTTTTAAAAACGTCTATTTTCAGGAAAACGGCTACAGACCATTCAGAGTCAAGCGTGTGGAGCTGAAAGGAGAGGTAAGATTAAAAATAGACTTTGTTCAATTTTACGCAATGTTAATTTTTCAGCCCCAGCCTTATTGCTTCATCGAATTTGCTAGTTTTGAGGACGCGCGTAACGCTTTATTCGAGCTCAACGGAAATAAAATTCCTGGTGAGAGGGCGAGACTTCGGTTCAACCTCTGTTTTGCAAATGACAGTGCCCAGTTAGTTTTCTCTAAAAAATTCTTACAAAGAAAACTTATTTTTAGTGAATACAGTTTATCGGTTTCTAACCTTCCTTTCGACTTCACCGAGGCAGATTTGTACAGAGTAAGTGGAAGTTTGCTTTTTTGTTTTTAAAAGTTTCATTTATCTGATTTAAATGGAAGAAAAACTTGCCAACTTGATATATTCGGACAAGAAAAATCGTTTTACTTTTCCACTGAAAGTTTGCTTTAAATTCGCCAGAACGCTCTTTGATGTACCAGAGCAAGATTCTTAAATCCTCAACCTGCACGGTTTTTTAATTTTTGAGAAAAAAAGGGTCAAAGCTCAAAAAATCTCATTTAAATGGCTTTGGGGGGCTATCATCAACTTTGAGGCTACTTTTCTGAAAAACTGAGGAGTTGTGCCGGTTGGAGCTATTTTGATCTGGTTCATCGAGGAGTTTTTTGAGTAATTTTTAGAAAGTCCCAAAGCAAAATTACTTTCCTTGTTTGCGATGCTTCAGAATACTCTAAATTGTTTTAAAGAACTCCACCCTGAGTTTTTTCATAAAAATTATATAGTTTCAAGTTTCATACTATGTCGTTGAACTTAACATTTACACACATTGTAGATCCACCTTCTGGCCTTATTCAATAAAAAGCGCACAAAAACATAAACTTTTTCCCACAATAACGGAGGTGTTCTTTAGGTGTTTGACAAGTATCACTCTTGTCGAGGTGCTAAAATCTTCCGTCACTCGAACGGCGATTCCAAAGGCAGCGGCTACATAAGATTCGGTGATGAGACCGATCAGCAACAGGCGTTGGTGAGCTTTTTGATTTTGAACACAAGGTGAAATAAAAGTTTTTTCACTATTAGAGAATAACAATATTTCACGAAAAAAAAGACGATACTAAACATAATAACAGAGTTTTCAGGTGGAGATGAACCGAGTCAAGGTCCGCTCAAAAATCATGACGCTTCGTTTGAGTCAACACCGAGAAAGGGCTGCTCGAAATGAATTGGTGGGCTTTGAAGCTGAAAAATCGGTTTCTTTGGATTTTTGTCAATACATTTCTCTTCTCAATACGAAGGAAGATGCGTGTTTTGGATATTTTATACCAGAATATTCGAAATTTCTGTTTTTCTGTTTTTTCAGACACCGCACAAAGCTAAAATTTTAAGACACTCTGGTTTACTGAAGCCTGAAGTCAAATTATTCTCAAAAGAGATATTTAAAATAAATGCAAAAATTATTTTTTAAATGCAAAAATTATACATCATTTTTGTTCAGATGTCACAAATGAGCCAGATAGACCCAAACTACGCAATGACAATGATGCCGCCTCCTCCGGTTTATCAGCAACCGGTGGCTTCCGGATACGCCGGTTACAGCAGTTATGATGATCGGAGTCGATACACGTCGGTCCCTTCACTTGGTTCGGTAAGGAATTTTTTTTTGGAAGAACGTATCAAATAGTTTCTTGGTTATCAGAGACTTTCTAAAATGGCTTTGCGTTATCCCTTGAATAACTTGACAGTTATCAGCAATTTTTCGAATTTTTTTATTGTACTGAAAATAAAAATGAAAGTAGCATTTTTTTTTAGCTTGGGAGCCAAATTTGCAAAGTAGTGAAAAAAGGAAGGTTCTATCAGAACATCGATAGAAAAAAATTTAAACAAGCATTGAAAAAAAATTATGTACTCGATTCACCGCGAACCTGATACAAAGTACTGGAAGGGCCTCTTTTTCGCTAGTTTTGCGATATTCTAAGTAGCTAAACGCTTTGCTCAAACCGGGTAAATACAATATAATCCTGAGAGGAAAATTTTTTCGAAAGAGGCTAAATAAATTACTTTGATCAAATTTGAATAAACCTTGATAAAACCAAAAAAACCTCCGCAAAATATTTTTCTTCTTATTTCTGTTCCACTTCTTTGTACGAAGACCTTTTGACGTTTATAAGTATTGAAATCAGCGGTGAATAAATTATATAGCCTTGAAAAATCTTGAACATATTGAGAATTTTTAAAACGAGTTCAATGCAAACGCAATAATCCAACGTTATAAATATTGATCAGCTCTCGTCAAATCCAATTTTTCCCAGTTTCGAAATGTTTATATCGTATCGTCATTTAACAGGAAAGCGCCAGAAAGTCGAGCTCGAAGTATGGTGACCACTTCTCGATTCCAGCCCCACCTCCTCCCGTGGACCCAACGGCGAAAATTCCTGGGGACGAGAATATCGACGACGTGATCCGACTTTCACTTTGCCGTGAGTTCCAATTTTTTAAAACTTACTCATCAATTTTCAAATTTGCTCGCAAGAACATTTATTTTTCCAGTTGAAAGCAAAAACGTCGCTCTGGCAAATAAAGCCCTTCTCATGTACAACGAAGACATTTTCGACGATTTGGAGAGCAGCAGGTTTTTTGAATCGAAGTATTTTTTCATGACCAAACTGTTTACAGATGGTCTTCTGTAGTGGCGGTCCCTCGGATGACGAAGGACATGTTTGAGAAGAAGCTGGAAGAAGCCAAGTGGACTTTTTGATCCGCTTTCCGTCTTTTGCAGTTGATTTTCAAGGATCTCCTCCAAAACTTCTTTTTCATGGTCTTCCAGTTTCAACTCCTTTTTTTTCTACATGGTCGTTTGTAAATTTTTTGTGGAATATCGGGCCTTTTTTTGTCAAATTTTTTGTAATATTTTTTCTACTTCAATTTTATTTGGTCTTCGGTTATTAATATATTAATTTCATCTTTTTCGAATATATATTTTTTTATTTTTCCATTCCTTGGCTGTATTTTTGATAAAGCTATCTGGTTGGGTATTATGTGAACTGCATTTCTGATTACTTGAAGTTTAAAGGAAATATTTTATAAGTAATCGATTCAAAGAAAAAAACAATCAATGTCGAGAAATATTGAAAGAAAAGCCACAATAAAGACAAATGCTTCTAAAATTTTTCTGCAAAATTTAGGTCGCATTTGCCTTTTAATAAGACGAAAGGAAAGACACGGCGTCATGATTTTAGATATATGTATTTGTGAGGTCAACATTGACTGAGCTTTTCTGATCACTGAAAAAAGTTTTCTGGTCAGGAACTTTTTTACCATCATCTGTGCATTTTCTCAGGCAACAATAAGAAGTTTTTCGCGAAGTTGCAGGTGCCAGGACGTTTTGGTACCGCCCAGTAGAAACAAAGCTCGAAAATGACTGTCTTGAGTTGCCGAGCTTATATTCATAGCCAAACTTTCTTCGAACATCGACAATATTGCATTTTGAAAAAGGTGCTAGTTGGGAGCGGAACTAAAAAGCCAGTATAATCGCTTTTTCCCCTTTTTCACAAAATTCAAAATTATATACAGTTCACACAATTCAGTTTTCAATGAAACAATTTGAAACTTTGAAACTTTTATTCAGTCTTCAGAGTAGGTAATCTGCTGAATCATGGAATAATTGAAGAGTTGTTTGTCGGTTCGCGATAATGTCCTTGATCAAGCGTAGACGGCGCGTAGATCATCTCGCCTCTCTTGTGCTAGTAGTAGACGATTTTCGAACGTTTCCGACGATCACTGCTTCTCCATGTAGGAACAGTACGGCGCCCAGCTTGTACAGGGCTGGCGGGCGTCGGATCGAATCTCGGACGAGAGCGGAAATGAAGACCGACCAATTGGTGGTAGAAATGAGATAATAATGAAACATGAAACAATTACACTAGAAAAATGAAAAATGCCACGCGTTTCAAAAGGATATAAAACTTGACCAGGTCAGTCGGAATCCTAGTTTGAAAAATCTTTTTTCGTGAGAGTACCAAAAACTGCAAGAACTTTCTAAACAACCTGATATTTGCACTACGAAAATTTCTAACCACTTATTCCATTTGAAGTTTCATAAAGTCTTCCTAGAAACCATTATTTTTTTACATTTTCTGTTAAATAAGAAGTTCGCAGAAACATTTTTTTGTGAACTAGCAGAAAATCTTGTTACTTGTGTTGATTGGATGTTCGGTGAAACTCAACGTTTCATTTGATTATATGCAAAAAAATCGTGAACAAAAAGGTAAAACAGATCACACGAGTGGGTTGAAACATTGTTATAAAAAAACCGTAGAAAAAAGCGTCACGGGGTATCCGGGGCACAAAAAATAACGAAGGAATGTGGGGATAAAGCCAATGAAAGGAAATGGGGATAAATAAAAGAAAACTCCTACTCTGAGTTTTTTGAGAATCTATTTAAAACTGTGAATATGAAAAAAATGGCTAATTGCAAAAAGTCTTCTGTGTAGTTATACGAAAAAATAAAACTATTTAAACTATTGAATTACTGTTCCTATTTGGAATTTTTCGCGGAATGTCGACTCGAACGTCGGGGTTGTGCAGGAAGAGGCTCCTCCTCAGCGACCACTTTTTCTTTCATCACCGTTGTTCTGTCCTCTCGTTTCTTTGTCGCCGTTTTTCTGTCTGTGGCGGCTTTTCCCTTCTTCGGAGCTGCTTGAGCTTTCTTCGGCGTCGCTTGAGCTTTCTTTCGGCAATTTTTCGCGGGTTTCTTCGGCGTCGCTTGAGCTTTCCTTGGAACGTTTCTCTTCAATGGCGTGGTAACTGTAAGAATGTATTTACGATACAGAACTATTTATTCGACTTTAAATTGTTTCTATGCCTGAAATTGGCCCCCATTTTGTCCAGGAGCTTATTCTAAAAAAGAAATCACAATTATGTCAGGTCGTACAAAAGATTTTTTTTCATTTTACTAAACTTTCGCAACTTTTTTTGCTGCAAATAAGCTTCATAGCGGATAAAACTCACTTGTCTTCTTACGAGCCGGCACCTTTCGTGGCTTTTTGACATCAGGGATGACTACAACATTGTCGTCGAAGTTGACTTTCTTGTTCACTTTTTTCTTCTAAAAAAACAGCGAATAATTTGAAATATTTTTAAGAAATTATTGTGATCGAAAAAAAAAAACTATTTTTCTTGACTCAATAAGTAAAAGGTAAATAAGGTTACCATTGAGTTATTTGAACTTAATAAGGAAAAAAACTAAAAGCTTGACCCGATTCATAAAAGCTCAAAGGTTGAAGTAGGGTCAAAGGATATATTTCTTTATCATATGCAAGTTTTGTATTCACAGTGTTGATTAATTTCGTAAAATCGTGAAGGTTTTTTTTTAATTGGCTCTCTTTGATAAAAAAAAAACCAGCAATGAAATAAAGAAGGAATGAGTTAGAGGAAAAAAAAAAAAAAGGTTTCTCAGGGTTTTCGCGGTATCCGCTTCTTTTTTTCTAGAAGACAAAAATATCTTTCAAGTTTCCCAGGAAAAAAACAAAAAAACACTCAAAAAAATATAGTTTACTTTTTTTCCGACTTAAAAAGCGAGGGAGGCAGGGGCAGGGGGCGGGGCGCATAGCGTGAGCGTACGCGGTTCTTGGCCCGATTCAAAGTCAACCGCCGGCGACTCTCTGGCGAGCTCTTTTTTTTATTTCTTTTAACTATTCATCGAATTTTACATGTTTACATCAAAAAAAATAGCCGAACAGATACAAAAAGAGCGGTGACCGAGCTTTGTGAAAAGTCGGTGGCGCTTGACTCAAATTGTGCCAAAAACCGCGTACGCGTCCCGCCGACTTCTCCGCCTCCCTTGCTTTTCAAGTCAGGATGGATTGACTATACCTTGTTGACTTCTTCTTTGCCTTCTTGGCTGCACGGTTCCGGGAGTTTCGGCAAGCAGGCCACTCCATAAGAGAAGAAGTACGGGGGCACAAGGAACTGATGCTTCATTGTGAGAGGCGCGTGAAATGCTCGCATCTGAGAAAATTCGAAGTTGATTGATTGATTTTCTCAGTTTTTCTTTTTTTCATGATCTTGAATAGGAAAAAGAACTAAAACAAGTCCTAAGTAAAATTGTTCGCGGTTGCGAACTTTGTGAAATTTTGCTAGAACAACTTTGATCTGATCCGGAAAGCCTCTAAAATTAAAACTGCTCATTTTTTGGACAAAAGATCCGCTGGTGGAGAGTTTTCCTCGGCAACTGAGAAAACTTCAAAGTCTAAAATTTCAGAAATTCATTCGGGATTTAAAAGCTGAATTATTTGAGGCTATTCATGCGAGCAAAATGGAAAACGAAGTTGATCTAGAGCAACAGCTAATTTTTCTTATTGGAATTGAACAGCGGCTTTATGGAACCCTTTTTTATAGCTTTAGATAGTCAGAAATAGATTGACCGATTGTCTCTGAAGATTCGTATACCTTTACGATCAGATAAACACATACAACTAGGTTTTTCTGTCTAGTGTTGATTCTCACCGGATTATAAAAGTGGAGCAGCATCGTTTTTTCCGGCTGATAATCACGAAGGTGAGGGTCGAGAGGAACCAAGCTGGTCTCAGGGACTTCTATCGGCCACGGGGATCTGGAAAAGAGGAAAAATGGAAAAAAAGTAATGATCTTCAGAAAAAAGTGCGCTTGTGGAGCCTATGGCCAAGGTTTGAAGCCTTTCTGCAGAATTTTTTTTTTGCATCTATTTTTTTTCAAAACGTTGATGAACCTTTTGAGTTTTTTTTTAAATCTGTGTGGTGCTGAAATTTGCTCGTTAGGGTCTATGAAACCCCCTCTCATCGAAACTCGCTAAAGCTATGTGCCTTTTAGTGTGTTTCATGTCTCTTGTAACCGAGTGAAATGAGAATTCAAATATTCGAAACTCACCAAAGCTTTGTTCGATTCAGTTCCAACAGGAACCGCATCGAAGTGGATTCCCAGTTTCCGCGAGCAGAGTACCGCGTTCCGGTTCACCATCTGAATTCTTCATTGAACAACATTCCTTTATTATATGTTCGAATTGAGAAGATTTTCTAGCTTTTTGATTGCCTTAATTGTTAGGACAGTTTATCAAACTTACGTAGGCCACTTCACACTCGTTTCTATCTCCAAAGGTAACGATGGCTGTATTTGAAACTCCATCCGGGCTCAATTCGATGCTCAGACCACAGAACGAAGGGTATTCAGTGAACGTCTGAAACATCAAAAAAACTATGCTTTTTCGAGAACAATTCTTTCAAAATTCTAAACGCCCGAAAGATCGATTTTTTTCACTTAGTTGGTTGATAGAACCAAAATGATGTTTATGATGAGAGAAACTTTTCAATGAAAGTAAGGCTGCAGCGTGAAGAAATTAGTCCACTTTGATTGCTTCTCTGTTTCTTGTAAACTTAAAGCTCCAGACTGCTTCGAAAAGCATTGTAGAAAATGATGAAAGAGATCTAATTGACGATAGTTTTTTCGAGTTCCATTAATACGAAAAACTTTAACAAAGTTTGATTACTTCAAATGACTCTTCGTGAAGTGAAATTTGAAAAATCTTATATAAATGCAGAAAAAGATTTCACTCACCGCACACAGAGCATCTTCGGTGATCTCAACAGGGAGATTAGACACAATGAGTCGGAAAAACGGTGGAATTTCGGTTCTGAGGAGCACGGACTTCAGAAATACTGGGCTGGGGATCCTGTAACGTCAGAAATATAAAAAAAAATATTTTTTTCGTAAAATTTTTTTATCTTGAAGATTTTTTTTGTCTATTTATTAGCAAATAAGTTTTTTTCAACATTGCTTTTTTTAAGTAAAAAGCTTCGATTTTTCCACGGAATAAAATGCGGGGGATCTGGAAAAAGCAGAATATTGAAGAGAACAATAGTTTTTTTCTACGTGAAGATATCTTCCATCCGTCAATCAGAACTGTTCAGAAAAATTTACACTATTAAACAAGTTCAGTGGAGTTCTTCCCGTTTAGCAAACCCTTCAAGTGTTAACGTGTATCAGAAAAAGAAAAGCCTCTAAAATTAAAAGTGCTCATTTTTTGGACAAAAGATCCGCTGGTGGAGAGTTTTCCTCGGCAACTGAGAAAACTTCAAAGTCTAAAATTTCAGAAATTCATTCGGGATTTAAAAGCTGAATTATTTGAGGCTATTCATGCGAGCAAAATGGAAAACGAAGTTGATCTAGAGCAACAGCTAATTTTTCTTATTGGAATTGAACAGCGGCTTTATGGAACCCTTTTTATAGCTTTAGATAAAAAAGTCAGAAATAGATTGACCGATTGTCTCTGAAGATTCGTATACCTTTACGATCAGATAAACACATACAACTACGTTTTTCTGTATGAAAGTGTTGATTCTCACCGGATTATAAAGTGGAGCAGCATCGTTTTCCGGCTGATAATCACGAAGGTGAGGGTCGAGAGGAACCAAGCTGGTCTCGGGACTTCTATCGGCCACGGGGATCTGGAAAAGAGGAAAAATGGAAAAAAAGTAATGATCTTCAGAAAAAAGTGCGCTTGTGGAGCCTATGGCCAAGGTTTGAAGCCTTTCTGCAGAATTTTTCTTTTGTATCTATTTTTTTTCAAAACGTTGATGAACCTTTTGAGTTTTTTTTTAAATCTGTGTGGTGCTGAAATTTGCTCGTTAGGGTCTATGAAACCCCCTCTCATCGAAACTCGCTAAAGCTATGTGCCTTTTAGTGTGTTTCATGTCTCTTGTAACCGAGTGAAATGAGAATTAAAATATTCGAAACTCACCAAAGCTTTGTTCGATTCAGTTCCAACAGGAACCGCATCGAAGTGGATTCCCAGTTTCCGCGAGCAGAGTACCGCGTTCCGGTTCACCATCTGAATTCTTCATTGAACAACATTCCTTTATTATATGTTCGAATTGAGAAGATTTTTCTAGCTTTTTTTGATTGCCTTAATTGTTAGGACAGTTTATCAAACTTACGTAGGCCACTTCACACTCGTTTCTATCTCCAAAGGTAACGATGGCTGTATTTGAAACTCCATCCGGGCTCAATTCGATGCTCAGACCACAGAACGAAGGGTATTCAGTGAACGTCTGAAACATCAAAAACTATGCTTTTCGAGAACAATTCTTTCAAAATTCTAAACGCCCGAAAGAAAAAAAAAATCGATTTTTCACTTAGTTGGTTGATAGAACCAAAATGATGTTTATGATGAGAGAAACTTTTCAATGAAAGTAAGGCTGCAGCGTGAAGAAATTAGTCCACTTTGATTGCTTCTCTGTTTCTTGTAAACTTAAAGCTCCAGACTGCTTCGAAAAGCATTGTAGAAAATGATGAAAGAGATCTAATTGACGAAAAAAAAAATAGTTTTCGAGTTCCATTAATACGAAAACTTTAACAAAGTTTGATTACTTCAAATGACTCTTCGTGAAGTGAAATTTGAAAATCTTATATAAATGCAGAAAAAGATTTCACTCACCGCACACAGAGCATCTTCGGTGATCTCAACAGGGAGATTAGACACAATGAGTCGGAAAACGGTGGAATTTCGGTTCTGAGGAGCACGGACTTCAGAAATACTGGGCTGGGGATCCTGTAACGTCAGAAATATGAAAAAGAATATTTTTTTTCGTAAAATTTTTATCTTGAAGATTTTCATTATTATTGTCTATTATTGTCTATTTTTTTAGCAAAACAAGTTTTTTTCAACATTGCTTTTTAAGTGAAAACTTCGATTTTTCACGGAATAAAATGCGGGGATCTGAAAAAGCAGAATATTGAAGAGAAAAATAGTTTTTCTACGTGAAGATATCTTCCATCCGTCAATCAGAACTGTTCAGAAAAAAAAAATGCTCTATTCAACAAGTTCAGTGGAGTTCTTCCCGTTTAGCGAACCCTCCAAGTGTTAACGTGCATCAGACAGAAATAAGAAAAAAAAAAAACATAATCCAGGCTTTTTCATATTTAAACGATTCTCACTTCATTGTGTTGAGCAGTTGAGGGGTCTGTTGTCCGTTTGATTGGTGTGCTCTGATTTAAGGGACCAGGAAAGACCGAAGATTCGTTGGGCGATTTGGGTTCCGTTGTGGGAAGAGCCTGAAACATCGAAAGAATGAAAAAATAATCAATTTAACATACTAGATGAATCATGGATTGCTCCAGAAATAGTCTGATTAATTTTAAACAATTCAATATTTTTGAAACTGTTTTTTCGCGAGAAACTATTCTCACCAATGTGATTTGAGGTCTTGATCTGCCTTCCATCCGCCTCTCAGACTCTGCCTGACAAGCTTGCAACCAGCTGGTGACTGAGCGTTCGAGAGCAGGGTCGATTCGGTATGGCGTCTTAAAGAACGAACTATAAAAGTGAGAATATAGCTGATATAAGGCTGGTTTGAGCAATTGAAGATAGGGTCCTGGCACGATAAGAAAAGAGACTATGCCTGCTTGGCGGAGACCAAAGACAAGCCACGCCCTTTTGGGCCCTAAACCCGCCGTTAATCGGTCATAATTATTTCAATTTGGTTAAACACATAGTACCATCAGAAAATTTACAAAAAGTACGCGACTTTGGTCACAATTTTCTTGTAAGGAATTAAGCCTTCCTGAAAGTTTGTGTATCTTCGTTTTCTCTCTCTCTGTCAATCGAAACTCTAACAGAGTGGTAAAAATAACAATCATCAAAACTTCAGCAAGTTTCAGAAAGATTGAATTCCTTACAAGATAGTTGTGACTGAAACCCACTTTTTTTGTTTTTTTTTCCAGACAAAACTGTAACATCCATCCGCAAAATTTTTTTTTCTGCGCAATTCCAAAAATGCACTCATTTTTCATAACTTTTGAAACACGAACTGCTCCAGTAGATCTTGATCAGTTTTCAAACAAGAAACTTTTTAAAACGGTTTTTTCAGGTGAAACTTGATTCTTACTGAAAGGAGTTGCGGCCACGGGTCGTCCGACATCCGATCTTCAGCATTGGCCTGATTGGGCGGAGTTGAGTCATGACGTTGAGGATCATTTACGAGCGGCGTCTGTAAGAAAACTGTAAAGATGAGAATATATATTTGATTTTGGTAGAAGATTTCCTTCATCCATCGTTCAAAACTTCTCAAAATAATCTATTTTTTTGTTTCGAAATCATGATTTTTTGAAACTGGTCGTGCCAGAAGATTCTTAAGTGTTCAAACTAAAATATTATTTGATGAGGCTTTTTGGATGAACTTTTGATGCTCACCAATGGGTATTGCGAAGTGGGAGTGTAAGTCGCCCGGTCTTTGCGGATCTCGTGTTCAATTGGAGCAGGAGTTATCGACTTGCGCTCGAAATGCGTGAGTTGTTCGGGACTTGGGGTCTGAACGAGCAAGACTTTGGGAAAAGAAAGGATTTCGATTATATTTATTGGAGGAGATCCTAAGATGGAGAGAGGGAAGAATAGTTGACCGCGAATAATTTTCCTTTCTCGAATCGAAAGTTTTTCAATATATTTTGAATTATAAACTTACGAGCGACTTTCTTTGGTCGTGCGCGGCATATTTCACGTCCATGCGCAATTGCAAGCGGACGAACTCGCGGATCCTCAAGTGGCTGAACTCCATCTGAACTCTTCATTCAATAAAAATTTAAAAAAAGTCATTTTTTCATAAATCATAAAAGAATCCTATAACTTTCGGAAATGTCGAAACTTAGTATAAGAAGATCTAACTCACGTGGGCCGAATGCCAGTCCTTCAAATCGCCAAATTCAAGCCAAGCCCTGCCATTGAGGTTCCCATTAGAGTCTCGATCGACGACAACTCCAACGAATGACGGGTACTTTTTGAAGGCCTGGAACATTTCCGAGATCATGCAGTCTCAACAAAAAAAGAGAGTTAAAAATCCAAAAAAAGAAATCCAAGTTTTAATACCCAATTTTATTATAATTTTTTCACTGTGTTCAGCCTCAGTTATGAATTTGTTCTAAAAGTTATTTATATCGGTTTCGGAGAGTTTTCCCAAGTTAGGGACCTTGAAAAAAAGTTCAACTGACTTTGGCGACGTCCGGAACATTGCAGTCGTCAGGAAGGTTTATTATCACCAGAATGTACGCGAACCTGACGAAAATTTTGATGAGCATTTTCAGAGCAAACCAACCCGGGACAGTCAAAAGCGAGGCAAGTGTCGAAAAGCACCTCCGATTCTTCATTTGGAACGGGCGTTTCGTTGAGATGCGCCACAGCTTTCTTAGCTTCTTCGTGAGTTTCAACTTCAACGCAGAAAATAACTTTCTGAAAATTCAGTGTTTTAAAATATTAGGCGAAACATATTGTTAATCTTACCCTGTTTTTCGTAGTTCGGCTGGATTACACTAACGAGTTTGAAACCTTCTCCCTGAAAAAATCGAGTGGGTTTTCAAAGAAATGGTATGAGGAGGACTCACTTCGAGATAGGAACTGATTTTGGTGATACTCCAGCCGGGTGGCAGGTTCCGTATCCAAAGCGTTCTCAGGGCGTCCTGCCTACTTACGGTGTCCGTAAGCCTCCCTCCTAAATATTTACGCTTTCATCAATTCATATAAAAAAAGCTATAAGAAAAAAAGAACGCGTTTACCCCCCTCCCTCTCCCCTCTCCCCCGCGTGAATAAAATAATAGTTTTTATGCTTTATTAATGCTAAAGGATCTCGAACCGATTTGGGGGCTATTTAATCCTTGCAGTTTGCCAAGGCGTTCTAGCGCTGGATGGGCCGCCTTCAACTCCATCAAAGAAGTCACCAGCCAGCTGAAAGACCCGAAACTGCGAGCTCACATCTTCGAAGCGTCGATAATCACTGCTATCTCCTACGGCACAGAAGTTTGGCCTGACACGAAGAACAATGCAACCGCCCTACGAACTTCCTACCGCCCACTGGAACGTGCTCTCCGGCACCAATCGCTTCGAGCAGTGGAAAAAAGAACAGCGGAGCACAGACTTCCGGCAACGATCCCAAATCCGAGATCTAGAAGAGAACATACAGCGCGGGAAACATCATTGGGGCGGCCACGTCATCCGCAGACAAGACGATCGCTGGTCCACGAGATTAACACACTGGATTCCGAGAAACATCGAGCGCCCACCGACCAGATGGACGGACTACTTCCCCAAGAACATCAGTCAGCCAGGTCGCCACTGGATGACCGTCGCGCAAGACCGAGCCGCCTGGAGAACGTGTGGTCCACGCTGAGAACATCAGCGAAGATGGACCATCAAAGTATCAAAGTAAGTAAGCAAGATTGAATTTAATATGAAAAATAGACCCTTCCCCCCAGAACTTTGAAATTTTTTTCATTTTGTCAATGTTTTCAGATCCGAACCTGCAAACTTCGTAGGCGTTGCATCGTATGGGTTACTGAGCTTTATCAATATTTCCGAGTCGTCGTATGGGTAGATCTTCCCGTTCATCTCAGACAGAGCGAGTTGGGCATCCTCGAACGTTTCAAATTCGATGCCGTACATCCTTGTCTGAAAAAATATTGTTTTGGAGGGTTTGGAAATTTTGCCAATTTCACCTGAGCTTTTGACCTCATAATGGAAATTGTAACGAGTAAGAAGCCAGCTCTCTGAAAAAAAAATGAGTTTTCAAAAAAATGGGATAAGGAAAACTCACGTTGAAGACGATATTGATCATATTTGGATCCCAGTCGAAGGGAACGCCTTTTAACCAAAGGGTTCTGATCGAATTTTGCATTTCGATGACATCCGCGATAATCGGTTCTAGAAAGTAATCATTAATCAAAAAATGAAAATTATCTGACAAGGGAGTCCTTAAAAAGTTATCTAAAACTGAAAAATCTTTTTTTTTTCTTTTTTCAATCGGCTTCGAGGTCAAGTTTGAAACGTTTTGATCAGAGTTTCAAGACCATTACGTCAGATGCTAAACTGAAAAAAATATTTAAATGAAGTATTTCGTATTATTCAAAGGAATCATAAATTTTTCGGCCCAACCTTTTTCTTTTCTTGAAAAACTGTCGAAAGCGGAGGTTAGATCAAAAATGTACTCCGGTTGGCTTTCAGCAGATTTACCATTGAACGACAGGGCGCGTCGGGCGTCTGCAAATGTCCGAAACTCGATGCGGCGCGTTGGAGGCTGAAAAATTCTCGATGAGTGAATTTGGCCCAAAGTTAATGTCGATCATACTCCGGCTTCGAGCTCTGCTGACCGCATAATCGTCTTAGGGGAAATTCCTTTCTTCTGTAAGATAATTGGTTTCTAAAGGACTGAGTTTGGGAAAACAGACCCCGAAGATCGAAAAGATATACTTCGATTGCCATTTGGCAGGCACGTTATTCATCCACAAGGTTCTCAGTGGGTGTTGGGGCAGGAGTTTAGGTGGCTTAGGGGCTGAAAGTTTGTTATTTTGAATTTAAAGTTCATTCACGGCGAATTGAAATGGAAAAAAATCAAAAATTTTCAACAAAACTCAATAAAGAAAAACCATTATTTTAGGATTTATATTCAAAGTTTACATAATGAGGAAAAAGTAAGAAACGATTGAAGCGAAAACTTCAACGTTTCAAAAATCTTTTTTCTCTATTAAATGATACTTGAGATGAATTTCCGTATAGTCAGAGAATTTTTTTCTAACTGAAAATTTTTCTTTCTTTTCGTCAACAGTTTTTGCATAAAATTTGTATCCTCTTATTGTATTGGACTCTAACCTGAGTTCTTTGAAACTGGTGACTGGTCGGTGGGCGATCTCGCGAAAGCGGGACAGTTGGAAGCAGTGGCAGGTATTAGTTGGTTGACAGAATTTGGTTCTTCCAACGCCATCGTTATGTTGATAACTTGGGAGAGCTGAAAAATTCCTTTCTTGCATTTCCGAAAAATTGAAATTTTGTTAAATGTATGGAATCTCGAAGTATCCCGTACATAGAAAAACAACACGGAAAGGAGAAGCATAGGTGAAAACTGTTCAGAGACAAGCAGCGTTTTCGGGATCATCCTGCCAAAAATTGATCTACAGACACAGAAAAGGGTACTATAAGAAACAAAATAGACTCCATGATTTAGAATAAAAATAACTTTGAGTTGTTCAAAGGAAAAATTTCAAAAGCAAATTTGCGATCAAACGTTTTACAAAAAGATAGAGTCGAAAAAAAGGAAGGATCCGCGTGCATCAGAGCGAAAAGGGGATGATGATAAATCGACGGACTGTCCGCCGCGACAGCGTGAGGCGAAGATTTGGCGCCATTCGCCGCCTTTCTGGAGGTCCCGCGGACACTTTTGACCTACCGTAACTTTTTGTCCCGCGCCCATGTTTTTTAGCGTTTAAAACAATATTGGAAACATGTGTCATTTGAACGTTATCATTAGTTCTTAATCAGTCAAAGGGAAAAGAGCTTAGAAGCGACATTGCGATCAGAAGAGTTTTCGAAATTTCGAATAAACGATGGAGAAAAGAATAAAAATAGAAGAACTTTGAGTATATCAGTAAAAAAAAAGGGTGATGATATAACGACAAATAGTCCGCCGCGATGACGTGGAGCGAAGGATTTGGCGCCTTTTGCCGCCTCTCTGGAGGTCCCGCGGACACTTTTGACCTACCGCACCGTTCATATGCCCGAAATTTGAATTTTCATTTTTTGAAATAAAGATAGTCCAAAAGTCACACTTATCATTTTGCATTTCTAAAATGCAATTGAAAATGCTTTTTTAGTCGATTAATTTTCAGTGTCGAAAATTTTTTTTTCGAGAAAAAGGGAAAATTCGCAAAGGTTCAAGAAGAAAAAAAAAATATGTCTTTCGAGTAGTTTCAACATTTCTACATAGGTGAAAACTGTTCAGAGACAAGCAGCGTTTTCGGGATCATCCTGCCAAATATTGATCTACAAACACAGAAAGGGTACTATAAGAAACAAATAGACTCCATGATTTAGAATAAAATAACTTTGAGTTGTTCAAAGGAAAAAGAATTTCAAAGCAAATTTGCGATCAAACGTTTTACAAAAGATAGAGTCGAAAAAAAGGAAGGATCCGCGTGCATCAGAGCGAAAGGGGATGATGATAAATCGACGGACTGTCCGCCGCGATAGCGTGAGGCGAAGATTTGGCGCCATTCGCCGCCTTTCTGGAGGTCCCGCGGACACTTTTGACCTACCGTAACTTTTGTCTCGCGCCCCTATTTTTTTTAGCGTTTGTTATAAAAAAAACATCCCAAAGTCACCTATCGTTTTGCTGTTTAACCCAAAAATGAGATTGAAATGTAGTTTCACTCAAATAGTTTTCAAGTGTGACATTTCTTTTTACCGAGGAAAAGACATTTCGCAAGGGTTCTGAGAAATAACATTGGAAAAATTTATCATTTGAACATTATCATTAGTTCTTAATCAGTCAAAGGGAAAAGAGCTTAGAAGCGACATTGCGATCAGAAGAGTTTTCGAAACTTCAAATAAACGATGGAGAAAAGAATGAAAATAGAAAAACTTTGAGTGTATCAGTAAAAAAAGGGTGATGATATATCGACAAACAGTCCGCCGCGATGACGTGGAGCGAAGGATTTGGCGCCTTTTGCCGCCTCTCTGGAGGTCCCGCGGACACTTTTTGACCTACCGCACCGTTCATATGCCCGAAATTTGAATTTTTCATTTTTTTGAAATAAAGATAGTCCAAAAAGTCACACTTATCATTTTGCATTTCTAAAATGCAATTGAAAATGCTTTTTAGTCGATTAATTTTTTTAGTGTCTTTTTAGTGATATGTCTTTCGAGTTGTTTCAACAATTTCTATAACAAGCGAAGGGGAGAAAAATTTTTGAAGCGAATTCGCGAGCGAGAGAGATTTCAAAATTTCAAGTAAACGGTGAAAAAAACACTAAAAATAAAAACGGCTCTATAGTCTGTTTATATTTTGAATGTGAAGCAGTTAACACCGCCCCAATTAACACAGCACCTTTTTGCGCCGATTAATATGTCGCGCGACGATTATCCTTCAATACGAACACCTTTTTTGGATCTTACAGGTAATAAGATCCGAAAAATAGCACTATTCAAGGATCATTGTCACGCGCGATGAAAAATCGACGCGAAAAGGTACTGTTCCAGCAGGAGCGGAGCTAACTGCTTGGCGTTCAAAATCTGAACAGATTGTACGTGTATCACAGAAAAAAGAACGTGATGATAAATCGACGAACACTCCGCCGCGATGGCGTGGAGCGAGGTATTTGGCGCCATTTGCCGCCTTCCCGGAGGTCTCGCGGTCACTTGACCTATCGTAATTTTTCCTTTTGCGCCCTGAAAACAGACTCGACCATCTCCATTTTTTTCTATTCCCCTTTTTTCAGATTAGCTCATTCCTGATTCATTGATCATTTAACTGTTCATTTTAAAATAGGATTTTTCCAACTGATTGCTTTTTCTGATTTTTCCTACTCAATTCTTTACTACTAAAATTTTTTTATCCCTTAATTTTACAAGAATATTTACTATAAAAAATGTTTAAAAACTCGCAAAAATTATTTTTGAAACCCTAGTACCTCGAGTATGTTCTGCAGCAACTTGTTCCCAATTTGAAAATGAAAATTGAAGTCTGGCGAGGCAAAAAAAAGCTTGTTAAGTGACAAAAAACTTTGAAGCTGACTGAAATACGCAAAAAATTGGTGGTATGAAAAAAATACCAGCGAAAATTCAAACGGCGACTTTTCCGATTTTTTCATATCGCTAGAGAACTTTCTGACGGCCACCTTTCCGCCGAATTTTTTCCCGACTTTTTTTCTCGATAAACTTTCGTTTTCAATCTTCCTATATGAAGTAGGAAAGTTATTCATGATTAAAACAACGAAATAGGAAAAATGTAAAAAAAATGTCTTATAAACCGAAAAAAATATAAGGGAAAAAAAGTCGGAAAGATATTCGGCGGAATGTTCCCTGGCGATATGAAAAAATCGGAATAGTCGACGTTTGTCCTTAGATACGCGGGTGCCTACCCGCCTACCGTAACCCGGCTACAGTAAGAGGGAATGACTCAAAAAGTTGCGTCGGCATTTTTGATGACGGACTATCACCCTGAGTGAAGTTATATCATAATCAGCAATAATCAAGACGGAATATGAAAATAAAATCAAAAAACACCGAAAAAAAAACTCATTGCACCAAAAAGACGTCATCATTTTCTTAGCAAATGAAAGCATTTTCCAAGGCGAACGTTCGCCGGCGAAAGTTTATTGCAAACGGCCTCTGTGCATCTCTCGGTACATGCAATTGATGAACGAACAAAGAAGCATAGACCTTCGCAACCAATCAAAAATCGGAGACCTAGCCGAGCACATCCAACGAGCCAAACATCACACTGGTATACATCCTAACTTCGCATCAATTTCAATTTCAATTTTAATTTCTTCAGTCGTCAGAGTGAGATGAAAAAACTGCTGAATCATGGCAAAATCGAAGAGTTTGTCCTCGGCGCGGGTTACGGTTCCAAATATTAGGTTTGTTACACCGGAAGGGTCACCGGCTCTTCGGTGTAAGCTTTAGACGTGTTGAAGGCAGACTGTCATGAAGTCTTTATTCGTGAGCCTCACACGCGTGTGGCCAAGACGCGTGCAAGGGAACCAAGTGAGATACAGGCGTGTCTGCCGGAGCAATTACACGCCGAGAGCATCGTTCACACATGAATACAATAGAACGGAGAGAGATAGTATTTCTACTGTAACAGGTTGCTCAGAAAGTTATCGCGGTTTTTATTATGCGATTTCAAATGATCCTAACTTCGCTTAGAGCTCTTATTTCTGATCAAAACAAAAATTATTTTATTAAGTGACTATGTGACAATGAAAAAAAACAAGACACTCCGTCGATGATATCAAATCCTGAATTACTGGGGACTTTGAAACTCTCAAAAGCTTTTTTGAGAGGGTTTCGGTTTTGAAGCATTTTTGCGCGAGAAAGTATTTTCAAAGATTGGAAAGCTGTTGATCAACAAGAGTGGAAAAAAAGGAAAAATAAAATAAACTCATTTTTCTTGTTTTGTTTGTTTTTACTTGCAACTTCCGCATAGCGCGATACAGGACCAGATGTGACTTTTTTTAGTTTCTATGTTTTTTTAAATTTTTTTACACACTGTTTCGTAAAATTTTTTTGCTTAGTAAACAACGTTTTTTTAGAGTAGAGAACCGAAAATAGGTATAAAAAAACTTAACATCTGTAGATAGCCAGGAACGTGCTCAATCGTCAGTATTTGATAGGTTGAGTTCAAAGAACTATCCAAAGCGGCGCTTTGGACAATCCAGTAATAATAGACATAAAAAAATTGTTTTGAGACGTATTTCTTTTTCACCGCTATTCGAAAAATCCTATTTTTAATAAAAAAATTTAGGTCGCATTTGCCTTTTAATAAGACGAAAGGAAAGACACGGCGTCATGATTTTAGATATATGTATTTGTGAGGTCAACATTGACTGAGCTTTTCTGATCACTGAAAAAATTTTTTTGGTCAGGAACTTTTTTACCATCATCTGTACATTCTCTCAGGCAACAATAAGAAATTTTTCGCGAAGTTGCAGGTACCAGAACGATTTGGTACCGCCCAGTAGAAACATAGCTCAAAAGTGACCGTCTTAAGTTGCCGTGCTTATATTCATAGCCAAACATTCTTGCAACATCAACCATATTGCATTTTGAAAAAATTTACTCAGCCAAACAAATAGGTAGAGTCTTAATAGATTTAAACGCTTGGAAGCCTAGTTGAGAGTGGAACTAAAAAGCCCGTATAGGTGTTTAAACACTTTTTTCAAAAAAACTATATATAGTTTATACGATTCGGTTTCAAATGAAACGAATAAACTTGAATAATGAAACATGCCACGCGCTTCAAAATGATATATAACTTGACCAGGTCAGTTGGAATCCTAGTTCAAAAAAATCTTTTTCGAGGGAGAATAAAAAAAAGCGCAAGATTTTTCTAAACAACTCAAAATCAGGTTTTCCAATAATTCTTGTCTGAGAATTTTTTTAATGTTCTATAATTTTCCTTAGAAGTGTTATAATATCAGGCAAGTGTAAGAACCTTCTGGAAGGTTGTTCAGAGTTTCATGCTAGGGGTATTTAAGGCGAAGTCGCCGCGTCTAGCTACCAGTACAAGCTAAGATGGACCAAGGTCGAATTCGTACGTTCGTGTACTACAAGCTGCTCCTGAGCAACGACACGGGCACCACGGTCGTTAACATCTGCAGTGCGTGCAAGAAGGATGTAGTGTCCCAACGTTCAGTCAGGCTCTGGTTCAATCGTTTCGGGAGTGGCGACACGAGCCTCGAGAGCAGGGAGCCCAGCGGGAGGCATTTTACAGTGGATGATGACGAAATCCGTCGCTATATCAAGGAGAAGCTGGAAGCCACCACCCGCGAACTGGCGACGACGCTCGTCTGCAGCAAGTCCACCATCCACGATCGCCTCAACTTACTCGGCCACCACAAAGTTCTGGCCCATTGGATCCGCCACCGCCTGACAGACGCCAAAAAGCAGAGCCGCGTGACCGTCCGCCAGTCCCTCCTCCTTCGTCCGCCTCGCAAAGAATTTCTCGAGGACCTGGTCACTTGGGATGAGACCTGGATTCTCTAAGGCAACGACGCCCGCCGTACCGTCTGGATCACGCGCGAAGAAGAGCCGCCGACAACGCCGAAAGCCGACCTGCTCTCGCTGAAGATCATTCTCTGCTGCTGGTGGGTCGCCGAAAGCTGCTGCACTTCAAGCTGCTCCCGCAAGACAGAACAGTCACCGTCTTCGTCTACACCGGTCAGCTCGAGAAACTAGCCGCCGCCATCCGGGAAAAGCGTCCCCGACGAGCCTCGGTCCACCTTCTGCACAACAGCGCGCGCCCCCACGTGGCGAAGGAGACCTAGCAGAAGTTGACGACGCTTGGCTGGGAGACGTCGCCCTCTCCGACTACCATTTTTTCCGCCTGATGAAGCCCTATTTGGCGGGAAGAAAATTCACCGACTACGACCACCTCACCTCCGACATCGCGGACTTCTTCGAGTCGCAGCCCGCGGAGTTCTGGGCGAAAGGCATCGGCGACCTGCCCAATCGATGCGCCACTGTCGTGGATAACTGTGGTGCTTATATTGTTGATTAGACTTGTTTTTCAATAAAATTGAAAAAAAATTGAAAATGTTGAAATTTTCGGACAAGAATAATGGGACAATCTGATATTTGCACTACGAAAATTTCTAACCACTTATTCCATTTAAAGTTCCATAAAGTCTTCTTAGAAACCCTTATTTTTTCATTTCCTGTTAAATAAAGTTTGCAGAAACATTTTTGTGTGAACTAACAGAAAATCTTGTTACTTGTGTTGATTGGATGTTCGGTGAAACTCAACGTTTCATTTGATTATATGCAAAAAATCGTGAACAAAAGGTAAAACAGATCACACGAGTGGGTCGTAACATTGTTATAAAAAAAACCGTAGAAAAGAGTGTTAAAAAAGCGTCACGGGGGTATGCGTGGCTCAAAAAAAACGAAGGAATGTCGGGGTATGGGGATGAACTAATAAAAACTACTACTGGGTTTCTTAGAAATCTATTAAAACTAAAAAAAACCTAAATGAATATTATAAAATTGGCGAACTGCAAAAAGTCTTCTGTATACTTATATGAAGACTGGAAAAATACTATTTAAATTAATGAATCACTCTTTATAATTGATATTTTTCGCGGGATGTCGACTCGAACGTCGTAGTTGTGCAGGAAGAGGCTCCTCCTCAGCGACCACTTTTTCTTTCATCACCGTTTTTCTGTCCTCTCGTTTCTTCGTCGGCGTTTTTCTGACTGTGACGACTTTTCCCTTCTTCGGAGCTGCTTGATCTCTCTTCGGCGTCGCTTGATCTCTCTTCGGCGTCGCTTGAGCTTTCTTCGGCGTCGCTTGAGCTTTCTTCGGCGTCGCTTGAGCTTTCTTCGTCGGCGTTTTTCTGACCGTGGCGACTTTTTTCTTCTTCGGAGCTGCTTGATCTCTCTTCGGCGTCGCTTGAGCTTTCTTCGGCGTCGCTTGAGCTTTCTTCGGCGTCGCTTGAGCTTTCTTCGGCGTCGCTTGAGCTTTTTTCGGCGTCGCCTGAGCTTTCCTTGGAACGTTTCTCTTCAATGGCGTGGTAACTGTAAGAATGTATTTACGATACAAAACCATTTATTTGACTTTAAATTGTTTCTATGCCTGTAATTGGCCCCCATTTTGTCCAGGGACTTATTCTAAAAAATAAATCACAATTATGTCAGGTCGTACAAAAGATATAAAAGCTAACGTTAATTAAAACTAGCGGAAAAAAAATGTTCAGATAGGGAGAATAATCAAACTTTTCTCATTACACGGTTCCCAGCTTTTCCCAGATAAAAACAAACGTTCGTTTTTGAAAATATTCAATTTGCTAAACTTCCGCAACTTTTTTTGCTGCAAATAAGCTTCATAGCGGATAAAACTCACTTGTCTTCTTACGAGCCGGCACCTTTCGTGGCTTTTTGACATCAGGGATGACTGCAACATTATCGTCGAAGTTGACTTTCACGTCCACTTTTTTTTTCTGAAAAAAAACAGCGAATAATTAGAAATATATTAAGAAATCATTGGGTTCGAAAAAATATCCCTATTTTCTTGACTCAATAAGTATAAGGTAAATGAGGTTACCATTGAGTATTTAGACTCAATTAGGAAAAAATGAATCTCAGTCAGATTCATAAAGCTCAAGGTTGAAGTAGGGTCAAAGTCAACCGCCGGCGACTCTTTGGTGAGGTCGGTTTTTTGTTTTTTTTTTCAAACTGTTTATCGAATTCTACATGTTTACATCAAAAAATAGCCGAACAGATACAAAAAGAGCGGTGACCGAGCTTTGTGAAAAGTCGGTGGCGCTTGACTCCAAATTGTGCCAAAAACCGCGTACGCGTCCCGCCGACTTCTCCGCCTCCCTTGCTTTTCAAGTCAGGATGGATTGACTATACCTTGTTGACTTCTTCTTTGCCTTCTTGGCTGCACGGTTCCGGGAGTTTCGGCATGCAGGCCACTCCATAAGAGAAGAAGTACGGTGGCACAACGAACAGATCCTTCACCGTGTGAGGCGCGTGAAATGCTCGCATCTGAGAAAATTCGAAGTTGATTGATTGATTTTCTCAGTTTTTCTTTTTTTCATGATCTTGAATAGGAAAAAGAACTAGAACAAGTCCTTAGTAAAATTGCTCGCGGTTGCGAACTTTGTGAAATTTTGCTAGAACAACTTTGATCTGATCCGGAAAGCCTCTAAAATTAAAACTGCTCATTTTTTGGACAAAAGATCCGCTGGTGGAGAGTTTTCCTCGGCAACTGAGAAAACTTTAAAGTTTAAAAATTCAGGAATTTCATTGAGAAATTTGAAAGCTGATGATTTGAGGCTATTCATGCGAGCAAAATGGAAAACGAAGTTGATCTAGAGCAACAGTCAATTTTTTTTAATTGGAATTGAACAGCGGCTTTATGGAATATTTCAAAAAAAATGAATCTCTGAAGATTCGTATCTTTTTGCGAACAGATAAACACATTCAACTAGACTTTTCTGTGTGATTCTCACCGGATTAAAAAGTGGAGCAGCATCGTTTTCCGGCTGATAATCACGAAGGTGAGGGTCGAGAGGAACCAAGCTGGTCTCGGGACTTCTATCGGCCACGGGGATCTGGAAAAGAGGAAAAATGGAAAAAAAGTAATGATCTTCAGAAAAAAATGCGCTTGTGGAGCCTATGGCCAAGGTTTGAAGCCTTCCTGCAAAATTTTTCTTTCGCATCTATTTTTTTTTTCAAACTGTTGATGAACCTTTTGAGTTTTTTTTTTAAATTTTTGTGATGCTGAAATTTGCTCGTTAGGGTCTATGAAACCCCCCTCTTATCGAATCTCATTAAAGCTATGTGCCTTTTAGTGTGTTTCATGTCTCTTGTAACCGAGTGAAATGAGAATTCAAATATTCAAAACTCACCAAAGCTTTGTTCGATTCAGTTCCAACTGGATCCGCATCGAAGTGGATTCCCAGTTTCCGCGAGCAGAGTACCGCGTTCCGGTTCACCATCTGAATTCTTCATTAAACAACATTCCTTTATTATATGTTCGAATTGAGAAGATTTTCTAGCTTTTTGATTGCCTTAAGTGTTAGGACAGTTTATCAAACTTACGTAGGCCACTTCACACTCGCTTCTATCTCCAAAGGTAACGACGGCTGTCTTTGAAACTCCGTCCGTGCTCAATTCAATGCTCAGACCACAGGACGAAGGGTATTCAATGAACGTCTGTAATATCAAAATTATGCTTTTTGAGGACAATTCTTTCAAAATTCTTTTTTACACCGCTTTTCGAAGCAGACTGCTTCGAAAAGCAATGTAGAAAATGATGAAAGAGATCTATTTGACGAGAAAAAATAGTTTTCGAGTTCCTTCATTACGAAAACTGTAACAAAGTTTGATTGTTTGACACCTCGCGAAGAGAAATTTTAAAATCTTATATAAATGCAGAAAAAAGATTTCACTCACCGCATACAGAGCATCTTTGGTGATCGCAACAGGGAGATTAGACACAATGAGTCGGAAAACGGTGGCATTTCGGTTTCGAGGAGCACGGACTTTAAAAAAATACTGGGCTGGGGATCCTGTAACGTCAGAAATATGAAAAAGGAGAGTATTTGTTTTTTTGTAAAATTTTTATCTTGAAGATTTTTCATTATTATTGTCTATTATTGTCTATTTTTAGCAAAACAAGTTTTTTTCAACATTGCTTTTTTAAGTGAAAACTTCGATTTTTCCACGGAATAAAATGCGGGGATCTGAAAAAAAGCAGAATATTGAAGAGAAAAAAATAGTTTTTTTCTACGTGAAGATATCTTCCATCCGTCAATCAGAACTGTTCAGAAAAAAAAAATGCTCTATTCAACAAGTTCAGTGGAGTTCTTCCCGTTTAGCAAACCCTTCAAGTGTTAACGTGTATCAGAAAAAGATTTGAAAAAAAAACTTAGTCCAGGCTTTTATTATGTTTAAACGATTCTCACTTCTTTGTGTTGAGCAGTTGAAGGGTCTGTTGTCCGTTTGATTGGTGTGCTCTGATTTAAGGGACCAGGAAAGTCAAAATATTCGTTGGGCGATTCGGGTTCCTCTATGGGAATAGCCTGAAACATCGAAAGAATGAAAAAATAATCAAACTAACATACTAATTGAATCAAAGATTGCTCCAGGAATAGTCTGATTAATTTTAAACAATTCAACCTTTTTGAAAATGTTTTTTTGGGAGAAACGATTCTCACCAATGTGATTTGAGGTCTTGATCTGCCTTTCATCCGCTTCTCAGACTCTGCCTGACAAAATTGCAGCCAGCTGTTGAAAGAGCGTTCGAGAGCAGGTGCGAATCCGTGTTGAGTCTAAAAGAATGAACTTTGAAAGTGAAAACATAGCTGATTCACGGCTAGCTATGTGAAACGAAACTCTAACAGAGTGGTGAAAATAGCAATCATCAAGACTCCAGCAAGTTTCAGAAAGATTGAATTCCTTACAAGATAGTTGTGACTGAAACCCCCTTTTTTTGTTTTTTTTTTCAGACAAAACTGTAACATCCATCCGCAAAATTTTTTTTTCTGCGCAATTCCAAAAATGCACTCAGTTTTTATAATTTTTGAAACACGAACTGCTCCAGTAGATCTTGATCAGTTTTTAAACAAGAAACGTTTTCAAAGCCGTTTTTCCAGGTGAAACTAGATTCTTACTGAAAGGAGTTTTGGCCACGGGTGTTCCGTCATCCATTCCACTGGATAGACTCTAATGGGAGAAGCCGAGTTATGGACATGCTGTTCAGGATTGATCCCTTGCGACGTCTGAAAAAACAAAACCGTAAAGATGAGGATAGTCGATTCATTTTGAATAGATATCTTTCATTCATCAATAAAAACCTTTCAAAAAATTTGAATTTTCGATTTCAGAAATGAACTAACTTTTTTTATGATTTTTTTGAAACACGGATCGCTCTAGGAGATTTTTGATCAATTTTTCAGACAAACAAGCTTTTTTTCGGGAGAAAATTTTTGATTATTACTGTAGAGGATTGTGCCGTGGGGTCGTCCGACATCCGATTTTCAGCATTGGCCTGATTGGGCGGAGTTGAGTCAAGACGTTGAGGATCATTTTCGAGCGGCGTCTGAAAGAAAACTGTGAAGATGAAAATATATAGCTGATTTTGGTAGAAGGTATCTTTCATCCATGGTTCAAAATTTCTCAAAATAATATATTTTTCCCCTTCAAGTACCACCTCTACGCGGTGATGGGGAGGCAACGCCATTTATGGCGGCTAACGGTACACCGGTCACGCAGTTCGGCTTGCTTCTGCTAACAGAATGGGCGGTCTTTTTTTAGCCCTGGCAAGGCAAAAAGGATAATCAGACCAAAATTATGCTATAACACGTTCAACACCACGGATGGAACTTTTTCGCAAGAATACCAGTCAACCAGGACGACAAAACTGGATGACCGATTGCATAAGACCTCCTGGAAAACGTGTGGTCCACGCTTCGATCAATAAAAGGCACTAAAAGGCAATAAAAGGTCAAAAGCTAAGATGGACCATCTAAGTAAGTAATATATTTTTTGTTTCACGATCATGATTTTTTGAAACAGCTCGTGCCAGAAGATTCTTGAGTGTTCAAACTAAAATATTCTTTGATGAGGTTTTTTGGATGAACTTTTTGATGCTCACCAATGGGTATTGCGAAGTGGGAGTGTAAGTCGCCCGGTCTTTGCGGATCTCGTGTTCAATTGGAGCAGGAGTTATCGACTTGCGCTCGAAATGCGTGAGTTGTTCGGGACTTGGAGTCTGAACGAGCAAGACTTTGGGAAAAGAAAGGATTTCGATTATATTTATTGGAGGAGATTCTAAGATGGAGAAAGGGAAGAATAGTTGACCGCGAATAATTTTCCTTTCTCGAATCGAAAGTTTTTCAGTGTATTTTGAATTATAAACTTACGAGCGACTTTTTCCGGTCGTGCGCGGCATATTTCACGTCCATGCGCAAGTGCAAGTAGACGAACTCGCTGATCCTCAAGTGGTTGAAAACCATCTGAACTTTTCATTGAATGAAATACAAAAAAAAGTCATTATTTTTTTCTGAATCATAAAAGAATCCTATAACTTTCGGAAATGTCGAAACTTAGTATAAGAAGATCTAACTCACGTAGGCCGAACGCCAGTCCTGCACATCGCCATACTCAATCCAAGCCCTGCCATTGGGGTACCCTTTAGAGTCTCGTTCGACGTCCGCTCCAAGGAATGACGGGTACTTTTTGAAGGCCTGGAACATTTTCAAGATCATGCAGTCTCAACAAAAAACTAGAGGCTAACAATCCAAAAAAAGAAATCCAAGTTTTAATACCCAATTTTATTATAATTTTTTCACTGTGTTCAGTCTTTTTTCCTCAGTTATAAAATTCTTCTAAAAATTCATCATATCTGTTTCCGTGTATTTTACGAAGATAGGAAACTTGTTAGAAAGTTCAACCAACATCGAAGACGTCCAGAACACTGCAGTCGTCAGGAAGGTTCATTATCACCAGAGTGTACGCGAACCTGACGCAAATTTTAATAAGCATTTTCAGAGCAAACCAACCCGGGACAGTCAAAAGCGAGGCAAGTGTCGAAAAGCACCTCCGATTCTTCATTTGGAACGGGCGTTTCGTTGAGAATCGCCACAGCTTTCTTAGCTTCTTCGTGAGTTTCAACTTCAACGCAGAAATTAACGTTCTGTAAAGTCAGTGATATTTAACATTAGGCGAAAAGTATTGTTAATCTCACCCTGCCTTCGTAGTTCGGCTGGATTACACTAACGAGTTTGAAGCCTTCTCCCTGAAAAAATCGAGTGGGTTTTCAAAGAAATGGTATGAGGAGGACTCACTTCGAGATAGGAACTGATTTTGGTGATACTCCAGCCGGGTGGCAGGTTCCGTATCCAAAGCGTTCTCAGGGCGTCCTGCCTACTTACGGTGTCCGTAAGCCTTCCTCCTAAATATTTACGCTTTCATCAATTCATATAAAAAAACCGATTTGGGGGCTATTTAATCCTTGAAATCCGCCACGGCGTTCTAGGTTCGTTCAATTCATACTAGTACATTCCTCACTTTTTTTTTCACTGACAAGAGGGGAACAGTTTTTTTTTAGAAAAAATTAAGAGATCGTCCAATTCTTTATTTGCTTTTACAAAAATAACTTCGAAAGAACGTGAATATGATGAATTAGTTGAGATCTCGTGAAAGTTAGAATTATACACTTTTTTTCTGATTGAATTTCATATGAAAAATAAACCCTTCCCCCCAGAACTTTGAAATTATTTTCATTTTGCCAATGTTTTCAGATCCGAACCTGCAAACTTCGTAGGCGATGCATCGTATGGGATACTGAGCTTTATGAATATTTCCGAGTCGCCGTACGGGTAGATCCTCCCGTTCATCTCAGACAGAGCCAACTGGGCATCCTTGAACGTTTCAAATTCGATGCCGTACATCCTTGTCTGAAAAACTTTCGTTTTGGAGGGTTTGGAAATTTTGCCAATTTCACCTGAGTTTTAGACGCCACAGTGGCAAGTGTAACAAGTAGGAAGCCAGCTCTCTGTAAAAAAGTGAGTTTTCAAAAAAATGGGATAAGGAAAACTTACGTTGAAGACACAATTAATCATATTTGGATCCCAGTCGAAGGGAACGCCTTTTAACCAAAGGGTTCTGTTCGAATTGTGCTTTTCGATGACATCCACGATAATCGGTTCTAGAAAGTATTTATTAATCAAAAATATAAAAAAATTATCTGACCAGGGAGTCCTTGAAAAGTTATCTAAAAACTAAAAAAAATCTCTTTTTTTATCGGCTTTATATTGTTAAAACTTTCTGTTCAGAATTTCAAAAACCATCCCGTCAGAAGCTGAACTGAAAAAAATATTTGAATGAAGTATTTCTTATTATTCCAAGGAATCATAAATTTTTCGGCCCAACCTTTTTCTTTTCTTGAAAAACTGTCGAAAGCGGAGGTTAGATCAAAAAAATGTACTCCGGTTGGCTTTCAGCAGATTTACCATTGAACGACAGGGCGCGTCGGGCGTCTGCAAATGTCCGAAACTCGATGCGGCGCGTTGGAGGCTGAAAAATTCTCGATGAGTGAATTTGGCCCAAAGTTAATGTCGATCATACTCCGGCTTCGAGCTCTGCTGACCGCATAATCGTCTTAGGGGAAATTCCCTTCTTCTGTAAGATAATTGGTTTCTAAAGGACTGAGTTTGGGAAAACAGACCTTAAATATCGAAAAGATATACTTCGATTGCCATTTGGCAGGCACGTTATCCATCCAAAGGGTTCTCAGAGGGTGTTGGCGGTGGAGTTTACGTGGCTTACGGGCTGAAAGTTTGTTATTTTTGAATTTAAAGTTCATTCACGGCGAATTGAAATGGAAAAAAATCAAAACTTTTTCAACAAAACTCAAAAAAAGATTTTTTTAGAATTTATTTTTAAAGTTCACATAATGAGAAAAGAGTATAAAATAAATGTTTTTTTCGAGAATTTCCCGAGTTCATTAGTACTTCTCTTGAATTTATTTCTTGAATTTATTACGTATTTTAAAAAAATTTCAAATGTAAAGTATATGCATAAGCTATTCAGAAAAGAGACACGATTGAAGCAAAAACTTCAACGTTTCAAAAATCTTTTTTCTCTATTTAATGATACTTGAGATGAATTTCCGTATAGTCAGAGAATTTTTTTCTAACTGAAAATTTTTCTTTCTTTTCGTCAACAGTTTTTGGATAAAATTTTCATGCTCTTATTGTATTGGACTCTAACCTGAGTTCTTTGGAACTGGGGACTGGTCGGTGGGCGATCTCGCGAAAGCGGGACAGGTGGAAGCAGTGGCAGGTATTAGTTGGTTGACAGAATTTGGTTCTTCCAACGCCATCGTTATGTTGATAACTTGGGAGAGCTGAAAAATTCCTTTCTTGCATTTCCGAAAAATTGAAATTTTGTTAAATGTATGGAATCTCGAAGTATCCCGTACATAGAAAAACAACACGAAAGGAGAAGCATAGGTGAAAACTGTTCAGAGACAAGCAGCGTTTTCGGGATCATCCTGCCAAAAATTGATCTACAGACACAGAAAGGGTACTATAAGAAACAAATAGACTCCATGATTTAGAATAAAATAACTTTGAGTTGTTCAAAGGAAAAAGAATTTCAAAGCAAATTTGCGATCAAACGTTTTACAAAAGATAGAGTCGAAAAAAAGGAAGGATCCGCGTGCATCAGAGCGAAAGGGGATGATGATAAATCGACGGACTGTCCGCCGCGACAGCGTGAGGCGAAGATTTGGCGCCATTCGCCGCCTTTCTGGAGGTCCCGCGGACACTTTTGACCTACCGTAACTTTTGTCCCGCGCCCATGTTTTTTTAGCGTTTAAAACAATATTGGAAACATGTGTCATTTGAACGTTATCATTAGTTCTTAATCAGTCAAAGGGAAAAGAGCTTAGAAGCGACATTGCGATCAGAAGAGTTTTCGAAACTTCAAATAAACGATGGAGAAAAGAATGAAAATAGAAAAACTTTGAGTGTATCAGTAAAAAAAGGGTGATGATATATCGACAAACAGTCCGCCGCGATGACGTGGAGCGAAGGATTTGGCGCCTTTTGCCGCCTCTCTGGAGGTCCCGCGGACACTTTTGACCTACCGCACCGTTCATATGCCCGAAATTTGAATTTTCATTTTTTGAAATAAAGATAGTCCAAAAGTCACACTTATCATTTTGCATTTCTAAAATGCAATTGAAAATGCTTTTTTAGTCGATTAATTTTTAGTGTCGAAAATTTTTTTTTCGAGAAAAAGGGAAAATTCGCAAAGGTTCAAGAAGAAAAAAAAATATGTCTTTCGAGTTGTTTCAACATTTCTATAACAAGCGAAGGGGAGAAAATTTTGAAGCGAATTCGCGAGCGAGAGAGATTTCAAAATTTCAAGTAAACGGTGAAAAAACACTAAAAATAAAAACGGCTCTATAGTCTGTTTATATTTTGAATGTGAAGCAGTTAACACCGCCCCAGTTAACACAGCACCTTTTTGCGCCGATTAATATGTCGCGCGACGATTATCCTTCAATACGAACACCTTTTTTGGATCTTACAGGTAATAAGATCCGAAAAATAGCACTATTCAAGGATCATTGTCACGCGCGATGAAAAAAATCGACGCGAAAAAGGTACTGTTCCAGCAGGAGCGGAGCTAACTGCTTGGCGTTCAAAATCTGAACAGATTGTACGTGTATCACAGAAAAAAGAACGTGATGATAAATCGACGAACACTCCGCCGCGATGGCGTGGAGCGAGGTATTTGGCGCCATTTGCCGCCTTCCCGGAGGTCTCGCGGTCACTTGACCTATCGTAATTTTTTTCCTTTTGCGCCCTGAAAACAGACTCGACCATCTCCATTTTTTTCTATTCCCCTTTTTTTCAGATTAGCTCATTCCTGATTCATTGATCATTTAACTGTTCATTTTAAAATAGGATTTTTTTCCAACTGATTGCTTTTTTCTGATTTTTTTCCTACTCAATTCTTTACTACTAAAAATTTTTTTATCCCTTAATTTTACAAGAATATTTACTATAAAAAAATGTTTAAAAAAACTCGCAAAAAAATTATTTTTTTGAAACCCTAGTACCTCGAGTATGTTCTGCAGCAACTTGTTCCCAATTTGAAAATGAAAATTGAAGTCTGGCGAGGCAAAAAAAAGCTTGTTAAGTGACAAAAAACTTTGAAGCTGACTGAAATACGCAAAAAATTGGTGGTACGAAAAAAATACCAGCGAAAATTCAAACGGCGACTTTTCCGATTTTTTCATATCGCTAGAGAACTTTCTGACGGCCACCTTTCCGCCGAATTTTTTCCCGACTTTTTTTCTCGATAAACTCTTCGTTTTCAATCTTCCTATATGAAGTAGGCAAGTTATTCATGATTAAAACAACGAAATAGGAAAAAAAATGTAAAAAGAATGTCTTATAAACCGAAAAATATAAGGGAAAAAAGTCGGAAAGATATTCGGCGGAAAGTTCCCTGGCGATATGAAAAAATCGGAATAGTCGACGTTTGTCCTTAGATACGCGGGTGCCTACCCGCCTACCGTAACCCGGCTACAGTAAGAGGGAATGACTCAAAAAGTTGCGTTGGCATTTTTGTTGACGGACTATCACACTGAGTGAAGTTATATCATAATCAGCAATAATCAAGACGGAATATGAGAATAAAATCAAAAAACACCGAAAAAAAAAACTCATTGCACCAAAAAGACGTCATCATTTTCTTAGAAAATGAGAGCATTTTCCAAGGCGAACGTTCGCCGGCGAAAGTTTATTGCATACGGCCTCTGGGCATCTCTCGGTACACGCAATTGATGAACGAACAAAGAAGCATAGACCTTCGCAACCAATCAAAAATCGGAGACCTAGCCGAGCACATCCAACGAGCCAAACATCACACTGGTATACATCCTAACTTCGCATCAATTTCAGTTTCAATTTTAATTCCTTCAGTCGTCAGAGTGAGATGAAGAAACTGCTGAATCATGGCAAAATCGAAGAGTTTGTCGCCGGCGCGGGTTACGGTTCCAAATATTAGGTTGCTCAGAAAGTTATTGCGGTTTTTATTATGCGATTTCAAATGATCCTAACTTCGCTTAGAGCTCTTATTTCTGATCAAAACACAAATAATTTCATTGAGTGACTATGTGACAATGAAAAAAACAAGACACTCCGTCGATGATATCAAATCCTGAATTACTGGGGACTTTGAAACTCTCAAAGGCTTTTTTTGAGAGGGCTTCGGTTTTTGAAGCGTTTTTTTGCGCAAGAAAGTATTTTTCAAAGGTTGGAAAGCTGTTGATCAGCAAGAGTTGAAAAAAAGGAAAAAAATAAAAATCATTTCATTTTTGTTTTTGTTTTTTTCTTATTTTTTTGACTTGCAACTTCCGCAAAGCGCGATACAGGACCAGATGCGACTTTTTTTAGTTTTGATGTTTTTTTCAAATTCTTACATACTGTTTTTGTAAATGTTTTTTTCGCTTAGTGAACAACGTTGTTTTTAATGTTGTAGAGTAGAAAACGGAAAATAGTTATGACAAGTTAGAACAGCTGTAGATAGCCAAGCTGAGGCGAAGATTTGGCGCCATTCGCTGCCTCTCCGGAGGTCCTGCGGACACTCTTGGCCTACTGTAACTTTTGTCCCGCGCCCCTATTCTTTTTTTAGCGTTTGTTATAAATAAAATCATCCCAAAGTCATCTATCAATTTGCTGTTTAATCCATAAATAAGATTGAAATGTAGTTTCACTCAAATAGTTTACATGTGTGACATTTCTTTTTAACGAGGAAAAGACATTTCGCAAGGGTTCTGAGAAAATTCATTGGAAAAATGTGTCATTTGCATGTTATCATCAGTTCCGAATTAGTCAAATGGAAAAGAATTTCGAACGACGTTAAAACTTCTTCTTCGCCGAAGGCGGTTGTTCGGTATAGTTCTTAAAGTTCTTGTTCAGTCGATTACATCTATTACTTGAACAACAAAATGAATGATTCGATTGAAAAGCTTGTAATGTTCAGAAGAAACCCGTGCGAGTGTGCATCGATGTTTTTGCACTCATCAACTTTGTTTTTACACTTTTTAACAAAGCCGTTTTCTGTCATCAAAATTTCTAAAAACAGAAAAATCTCTGACTTCACCTTCGAGTGTGTTGGAATACATTTTTTGAGGGAATTTTTGGTATCTTTTCTCCTCAAAATTTTAAGGATTTTTCTGAAAATGGGAAGTTTTATGATTGGGCATCATTTAAACGCAACCTTCAACAAATATGAGACTCGAAAATTTACCCGCTTTTTCTACTGGAGGGCTCACCAGGCTCTTAAAATTTGAACGCGTTATACTAAGAGAAATTTTATAAGGTAGTTGATCATCTCGATCGGAGCCTTATATTTTTGATTTTATTTTCAAAAATATCACGTAAATCTTCAATTTTCAAGGTCTGTATCCGCCAAGCCAGCAGTTTTTTCCACATACTTTAAATTTCATAAGTTTGCGAGCTTTGTAAAAGCCTTTGAGAAAAGTTAACTAGTAGGTTTTGCTTTTTTTCGATCTTTCTTTTTTCAAATTTCGATTTGAATATGTCACAAGAATATTTTTCGTGGGAAGTTTTATTAATGGTGGACGTTTGATAAAACTTTTCGTATACTTCTAAAACAATATAAACAAGTCGCTGTTGGGGTAAACAAATAATAGAAATTGCTTGACAGTGTAGTTCGGTATTTACAGTTTTTGTGAGTTTAACTGTTTCGTTATAACAAATGAAAGCTAACTAAATCAAAATTGGTTATTGGGGGCCGAAGAAGCGTTTCTCAAGATGCCACGTCCGAAAGTTTTTGGTGGAAGTTTGGTTTTCTGGGTCGATTTTTCCTTCTTTGGTGGAGCTTTTGCCTTCTTTGCCAAGCGTGGCTTCGTGATGGCCGCAGTTTCCGATGTCTTTCCTGTAAACGTATTCTTCTGATTTGAAGCGTTTTGGTATATATAAATGTTTCAAATAAGAGTGCGCTTATTCTGTCAGAGCTCACTCAAAAAAAAGCAGAAAAATTCAAAACGACTCACGTGAATTTAAACGCGCCCCCTTGTTGCGATATTTCTTGACGCTTGGGATGACTTCGACGTTTTCCTCGAAGCGGACCTTCGTTTTCTTCTTGTATTCCTGTTAAACCAAACATTGAAAAAAAAATTCTGATAGTGCGTTTGAAAATTCTATGTGCAGAAAAGTGTCCCTATTTTTTAGGTCAGTTAGTAGAAGTTCAGTTCTTACCGAATTAGCCGTGGGAGCCGACATGTTACGGAAACTACACTCGAGAATTCGCACGTTGTTCAAATGATCTGTAACCGCGGTCTTGTCGCTGAGAGATCCAAAAGTGTTGAACTGCGGCGCCTGAGGGAGAAAACTGTGATGACAAAATAACTATCGATTTTTGTAGATCACATTATCGATCATTCCTTATCAAATCATCATTCAATGCCTTTGGACTATTTCATCCAAAAACTTTTTATCGTAAATCAACCATTTTTTGCCCTGTGGAGGATAATAGGGCTAAACAATCAAAAAAATTATAACGTTTTTAGATAAACTGCTTCACTGTTTCAGTTCAATTTTTCAATGCGAGATCAGCTTTGTCCATTTTTTTCAAGGATAAACATTGAAAATTACCGAAACAAAAGTCGAGGCGGAATTGTACTGGGTCATGTTTTCATCGCAGCCGGAGTCAGCCTCACCGATCATCTGTGACGTTTTTTGAGATTCGGGCGTTATCGATTCGACCTTGGAATTTCCAAAGATGTTGTACTTTGACGCCTGAAAGAGCAAAACTATGAAGAGGGAAGTTATTTTGATTTTTTGTAGGAAAGATGGCTACTTATTCATTATCGAGGCTCAAGCCATCATTTGAAAAAAAAAATCTCACACTCTTATGAACTTCAATTTTTTTCAGCTGGTATAAAAAAATCGCAAATATTCATCAATTTTTTTCAGTTAGAGCGCTTTACTTTATCAGCTGAATCAACTTTTCGATCAAAGAATTGTAAATTTTTTGACGTTCCGAGAAAAAAAAAATTGAACCTTACCGAAAAAAAGTTTGAGGCTGGGCTGGCTTGGGGCATATTTTCGTCGTAGCCGGAGTCAACATCAACGATCATGTCTGACGACGTTGGAAATGAAGGCGTTATTGATCGGGTGAAAGGAACTCCAAGAACGTTGCACTGCTGCACCTAAACGAGCAAAACATCAAAAAAATTGTATTGATTATTGATTTTTTGTAAATGAAACAACTGGTTATTTTTTATCGGGACTGTTTTGAAAAGTTCGAGAATTCAAAAAATGGAAAATTAAATGGAATTTTACCGGAGCAGACGTTGAAGCCGGTCTCGATCCAATCACATTTTTCCTGGCTGTGGGAGTTGAAGGAATCTGTCATGTTAGACGGCGTTGGCAAGTAAGGCGTATTCGATCGAAGGGCAAAGATTTGGAGAACGTTAAACTGCGGTCTCTGAACAAGCAAAAACTATTAAAAATGTGGTTATCGAATATTTGATAGAAAATAATCCAATTTTTTTCCGATATCCCGTATTTCAAGTCATCAATTAGAACCTCACAAAACCTAATTTATTAACATTTTATTAATTCTAACGTTTCCTACAACTCGCTATGCAGAGAGAATTTACCCGAACAATCAGGGAAAATCTTTAAAAAAATTTCGCTGCCAAAAAAATGGAGATTTTCGAAAAAAATTAAAAAGAAAATCTATCTCGGGAAGCACCTGATGATTTTGAACGCAGTTGAGACTTTGATTTGAATGGCATGACAAAAAGTTACAGAATTTTTTTAAAGAAACGGTTGAATAACAAAAGAAGAATCAAGTTGGAACAGCGAGAAAAACGTTGTAGAAACAGAGCAAGAAGAACGTGATGATAAATCGACGGAATGTCCGCCGCGACGACATGGGACGAGGTATTTGGCGCCATTCGCCGCCTTTCTAGAACTTCCGCCGTCATTTTTGACCTACCGTATTCTTCCTTTCCGCGCCTCAGAATCAGACTTAGAAACGTTCATTTTCACTGATTCTTTTTATTCCATTGGTTTCAGAAACTCTTACTTTTTTCGAGAATGAAAAAAGGCATTATGGCATTTTTCCTCTTACAGCTTCTTCTTCTAATGGGAAAAATGAATCGGCTCTATTTCTCGTCATTGATGCAAATTGAAACTTTTATTCACAAACAGTTTATAAAATTAACAAATACGTAAAAAAACTTTGTTGAAAAAAGGCACCCGTAAAAAATTGACCCGAGAAAGAAGAGAGTTAGATCGGGGGCAATGTATACAGCACCTGAAAAAATTTGAGATTGTATGATTCATTGAGAAAGATTTCAAACAACATGAGGTTTGGAAAATTATGAGATTTTCAAGAAGGTCATTTTTTTGGTGTCAGGAATTTTCTGTGGCAGGAAATTCTTTGGCCAGAAAACTCCTTGAGGAACCAGAAAAAGATTCTGAGGGTCTCAACCTCCTCATCTTTTTGTTTTCTAAGGAAAAAAGGGTTCTGAATCACAAAAATGTCCATTTTGATGGATTTTGAGCGTTTTCTCAAGTTTTGAGGTGTCTTTTCTCAAAAATTAGGAAGTTGTGCAAGTTGAGACTTTCAGTATTTTCATATGGAACAATAAAAGTTTTCTCGCCATTTTTTAGGAAATTCCTAATCACAAAGTGAAATGATCTTCTCGGTCGAACTATAGAAATAACTGGCTGAAATATCAAAAAAAAAAGCTTAAATTGCATCAAAAAAATGATCAAGCCAACCTGTTGATAAAGCTTAACAGGTGAAGATGGCCACAATTTCCTCCCGAGAGCCATGTATTCATCGTACATGGGCTTGATGTTCTGGAAAAACAGTTTTTTGATTTTGTCGAGGTTTCAGAAATATTTCAGACATTTATGAAAGCCCAAAAAGATGAATTAAAGTGTGCTCCACCGAGAAAAAGTGCAGTTTGTAGTTTCTTACCACTTCAATGTGGAAAAGGAATCTCGATAGGTTCTGATTACGAATTAAAGTATCCGCAAGCTCTTGATTACTTGAGGAAAGATTGTACTGTCGTGGGAAAAAAGACCAGGAAAAATTTTTTTGAATTCTCCACTTCTTCTGAAGAAAGAAGCCAAGCTTGAATCTTCTCATTTTTTTTCGTTTTCAAAATTTTTCCAATCCACAAGTATTTCTTTATCACAAGTTCAAAGATAAGACATCATCGAGAAAAAAATCAAATTGATTTCTTCTGCAATCATTCCTGGAGCCAAAGTACAGATAAAACCAAGAATTTAAAATCGTTTCGTCGATTTTTTTATTGGAGTTAAGTGTAAAGTTTTTGGAGTGGACAATTTAACGAAATAAATAAAAAGATACCAATTCGCAACGCTCGAGGAAATGCCTCAAAGCGGCTTTCTTCAGGCCTTCGGTCATGCCATCGAGAGCGATCTGGAGGCAGATCAGGTGGTCAATCCCGTAGGGAACAGACCGTCTCCAGAAATTGCGGCTAGCTGCGAAAATCACGAATTGCGCAATCAGAAACTGCAAAAGGTCATTTTTTTGAAAATTTTTGAAGGTGTTTTATTCTTGTTTACCCATTTGAAAAGGAGAAATGAGAATTTAGATTTTTTTGGGCTTTTCTCGCCATTAGTTTCAGTTTTCAAGTTCTTATTTTTTGGACTTTTTAAAGATCCCACATAATAAAGCACAAACTTTTTAGTTTCGTGCTAAATATATTATAAATATTTCAAGTAGAAAAAATAACCTTTTCCAGACGATAAAACTCGCTCTGGTCCCGGCAAGCTTGAACAGCAGGATCGGGATCTGAAAAATCCAAGTTTTGCGGAAATCATTCATATAATCTACAGTTGTGAGAGGAATTGAAAAAAAGTATTCTCCAAGAGAATTTTTAGAAGGGCTTGTTCAAAACGATAGTAGCTGGTTTTAAATATTTGAAATTATTTGAAATTTCGCCGAAGGTTCCAGTTTTCGGAAAATGTCAAAAATTTTCTGCCTTCTTTATAACACTTTCGCCTTACAAATTTTCAACCAATAATTAAAATTTTGTGAGCTCAAAAGTTCAACCTGTTTCTTTTGTTTCCGAAAAAGTTTCCCACCAAAATAAGCACGACGAAATGTGTTGTTCCCTCAAAAAGCGAGAAGGGGATGCAAAGTAGACAAAAGGCTGTGAAAGTCGGAAGAAAAACAGTTTTGGTTTATGCGGAGGAAGAAAAGCGTGGTCACAAATTGATGGAAGTGCGGAAAGAGTTTGTCGCCTTTTCTTGCATTCTTTGGACTGTTTTATTCGATTTGTATGAGAATCAATAAACTCGAATACTTTGTTGAAGCCATGAAAGAAGAAATGATTTTTTGAAGTTTAGACTCCACCCCTCATTATATCGAGTTAAACTCTTTAGTTTAGACTCATTGTATCGATACCATCTTGCCATTATTTTAAAATAACTTCAATTTTCAACTTCATCGAAAAAATTTCTGAACGTACCTTCAATTATCTCCTCCTTGACGGTGATCTCGTCTTCCCACAGGTTCGGAGCAACTTCAACGACGCCCTTCCAGCCAGAAATCATTTGATCCATGATATCTGAAAAAAAAGCAATTTGCAACAAAGAAAGAAAAGAAAAATCAAGAAGTGTGAAGATCAACATGCTCAAAACATGAATCGTGTTATTGGAATGAACCTTGTCTCGGGATATTGTTTTGATTACTATTAGAGGAATGGGATTGAGGAAAAAAACAACGAAAACGAAAAGTTTACGATGGAAAGAAAGAGAGCAACTGAACGAATATTGGAAAGTCAGGGCTTTTTGAAATCAATCATATTCATTTCCGCGCCGGGAAAAAAAGGAGAAAGAGGAAAGAATTCGAAAAGGGTTCAGTTGGGATAAAATGAAGGTGACGTTCGATCGTAACCAGCGGTCACAATGGAGGCGGGGAGGAAAGGACTCGCGAAAAAAAAAAATGCAGCGGCGTGGGCGGAAAAAAGCTTTTGAAGCTGTGCTGCCTGTAGAAGGAACATTTTTTGCCACCCGGTTCGTTTCCAGAGATCCTTTTTGTCTAGCGCCGGAGAGACGCTGAAACAGTAAAGGAACAAAAAAAGGAGGCGTGCGTGGACTGAGCCTTTGAATCTCTGTTTTTTTAGAAAGGCCGCGTGGTTTTACGGCTGGGATCTGTTTTGCCCGGAGGACTGTGGAGCTGTGGGCGGGGATTTCTCGGCCCGCCGGAATGTCAGACGGATGACTAAGTTCGTTGCGATAATACAGTCATCGCACTTGGCATTTCGTGCGAATCTCGGGGAACTAAACGTTTTTTTCATACGTACGATGGTCAATGGCTAGAAAATTTTCATGTATCTTTTTCTGAATATTTTCCAACAAAGCCCAAACAGACCTTCGATAGTTTTTGTTGACCAGCTGCTCTCGACAAGGTAGGAACTCATCTCCGAACGCTCGTAGCTTATTAAAACTCTTTCGAAGGAGTAATACTGTCACCAAACTTTGAAAGTTTCTTAATTCTATTGAAGTCTGGACCAGAAACATAGAATAATTCTTCGATGTGAGAATCAAATTCACCATTTTTTTCCTTCTGTCCCTGTTGCTCATATAGAAATACAAGGTCCAATTGTTTTCCTGAAAACAGTGGACAGGTATAGTTTTCAATCAGAAAGTAAGATGAATAAGGTGCTACCTTTAAGGCAAGTAATTTTACTTTTTGGTTGTATTTATTGTGTAAGTTGGCCTGAATATTACTTGATACACCAGGTGCAGGCCTTGGAACCCTCAACCTGCTCAAAATTCCGCTTTTTGAGGGCTTACGACTAAAAGTCTCAGAGTAATTCATTCAAACAAGTCCCAGTTTATATTTGATGCCTTTCACCTCAAAGCAAACGACACTTTTGAAATTTTATTAGGGCTTCAAAAGTTGTCATTTTTCGGTGAGTTTTGTGAAAAATGCGACTTTGTTCAAAATAAATTGTCGGAAACTTTGATATACCAGATTATAGGCGAGCTTGGTACACGGGCGCCCGGTCTCTCTGCGCTCTCCAGCGACCACACACTGTCTTGTTTTATATCGTGAAAGACCCTTTTTCGAAGTCTCAAGCCAGCCGGGAATCAACTACACGTAAAGATTTCCATGATAAATGAAAAAGGACGATAAAAGATAGATTGCAGAGTTGCTCCAGTCCTCGATCTCGTCTCGAAATGACTAAAAATTCTCGAGACCAGATCCCGTTGGACCCTCGTAAAGTGAAACTTCTCCATTTTTCTCGTCCCGACTTCCTAATACGGGCCTTCGCCCAATCTTAAAAACATTTATTGAACTAGATAAATGATAAATGCTGTATTATGATGCGAAGTGCTGTATAGCGCGAAAGTTTCTCAAATTTGGGGGATGTACTTAGGGCAGCGCATGCGCGCCTGCATACAGTTTTGGGATCACGAGTTCGATGCCCGCAGCGGTCATTCTTAAAATCGCATTCATTTTGAATTCGAAAGAAAAACTCAAAAAACGACTGAAAGTGGAAATTAAATATGCGCAGAAGAACTAGGACGACCGTTATGCCATTTTTAAAACTTGATCGAATACATTTTTAACATGAAAATTGCTAAAAAGTAGTACAATATCGCTTGAAAACTTCTTCTTCACCGCGCAGTGGGTTACATTTGAATCAACGATTTAAAAAATGATTAGTCGATTTATTTCATAATTCATTATTAAACACGCTATTTTCGACGGGAGCTGAGATGTCCAGCGGACATAAACTGACTCGTCCTCAAGACGTTCGGCGGAACCCTTGGATTTGAGCTTTACAAGTCACTTTCTTCTCTTCATGGAAGATTTTTTTCTGCATCACAAAAAATGAAAAAAAGTTTTCCTGGTTCAGCCGTACAGTCGCTGACCAAGAACGGCGCTTAGTACATCTCGCCCTGTTTGGGATAGTGGTAGACAAGTTTTCAATGTTCCGAAGATCAGCTGCTTCTCCATGAAGGAACAGTACGGCGCCCAGCTTTTCCAGGGCTGACGAGCATGCAAGAATGGAGGTGAAGACTACTGAAGAAGTAAAAAGGAGATAATTAAGAGAACAGGGATAATAATCTCGACATACTATTTCAGAACTGAAGCTTTGAAAGTAGAAAAACAACTCAGGGCTGAAAAAATCATTGAGCTCTGTTCTTGACTGATCCGAACCGTTTCTCACTTTTTCCACCAGACCCAATGGACAGGAACACGGACAAATCATCGTCTCTCTTTCGAAGTTCGGAGTCTTTACTTTTATTTTCAAAACGTGTTTTCTATCGGAATCCTCAAAAAACTACAGGAAGTGACCCTTAAATAGAATTCCTTACTGCAAGATAAGACCACTTCCGAGTTGAAGTCTCCAAGAAGCGGAAAATACGCAGTTATTTTCATTTGATCAGACCTGTTTTTCTGATAGGATCTCTCTCTGATCTCATTCGTTCCATGTTCAATAATAAATATACATGGTACAGAATATGAAAATTAGAATGAAAAATTCCTGCTCTTTTTTTTTGCGAACTCATTTTTATTGAGAAATCATTATTTACTTAAAAATGAGTTGAAAACGCAAAGTTTCAATGATGGCCGGGGCGCTGGCACTGCAGGCATCCGGAGCACGAATGCTCGTTGTCCGTGACCTCGAAGTCCTCGCATCCACAAACTTCCACGCGGTTGGCGGAGGAGACGTTCCGGCGAGGGACTGGCTCCACAAAGAACAAGTAATAGCAAACAGAAGCAATGATTCCTGAAACACTTCATGTGAGGACAGCAGAACGAATTATTTTTAAGACTGACGGAAAAGTCGTTTTATCATTGTTCAAAATTTTCTCAGCTCCAAAAAAAATCTTCACGTAATTTCAAAATTACCAAGATCCAGTAAGAACGGCGCATAGTCGGAATACAGAAAACCCAAAGCAAACGCCAGACACAAGTCGAAAATATCTTTAGCTCGGAGCATGACTGAAAAAAAGAAAACTTTTAGAACATGAACGAAACGAACGGTTCAATAGTTCAATACAAGAAAAGCAAACGCGAAAATTGAAAAACAGCACTGGGCGAATGAATTCCTATCCCCACCATTCGTTTATATACTTGAAAAGCTTTCAAAACCATTTGATTTCCTATTGTATGTAAAGTTCTAATTTGATAAACGTTATTTGTCATCTTGTTTGTTCGGAAGCACTTTGAACCATTTCTACTTGATTCGTTTATACACGAGAAATGCTTCTATCATATTTGTGTTCTTGGTCTCGATACGATTTCCCTCACACTGTTGCTATGATTCGAATTTTCTAGAGCCTATTAGTCATCTTGTTTGTTTGGAAGCAGTTGGATTCATTTCGGTCTGAAAAATTTTTTTTTCTACCATGATCAATTCTTTTTCAGAGAACAGCTTTTCCTTATCGTGGAAAGTTTCAAAACCGTTTCAAATTTAAGTCTTCGAAGAGGATTTTTTGCTGATTCATTCAGTTATTGAAGAGTTGTTGTCGTTTCGCGAGGATGTCGTTGATTAAGAACGGGGTGTATACCATCTCGCCCTGAAAAAGTTTTCCTGGTTCAGCCATACAGTCGCTGACCAAGAACGACGCTTAGTACATCTCGCCCTGTTTGGAATAGTGGTAGACAAGTTTTCAATGTTCCGAAGATCAGCTGCTTCCCCATGAAGGAACAGTATGGCGCCCAGCTTTTCCAGGACTGACGAGCATCGGATTAAATATCGAGCAAGAGTGAAGACCACCGGGGAGGTAGAAAGGAGATAATGAAGATAATAGTGATAATAATTCCGACATGCAAATTTTGAAATGAATATTTGAATGTTTAAAAACAACCCAGAGCTGAAAAAGCAGTGGGCTTTGCCCTTGACTAATCCGAATTCACGCGTTCCATCCGACACAGTGGACTGCAACACGGACAAATCATCGCGCCTCTTGCAAAGTTCGGATTCAAAGCTACCCTTTTATTTTAGGAAGGTCATTCCTTCATGTTTTTCTGAGTCTTTTTCTGCAGCGATTCCATGGACTTTGTAAATAAAATAACGTTTTTTTCTCATTTTCTTCTATGAAAAATTGAGAGCTGAAAAAATTGGCAGTAGTCATGAAATTGTGAGAGGCGCATTTTTTTTGTCAAATTACACGTTGTGCGAGGCCTGAAGTTTGTGTTCATTAATTACACGAGGCGTTGGAGGCAAGAAATAATCACGGTCGCAGCTTCTTTCAATTTTTTTCGAGGCACTAAAAGCGATACGAAATTTTTATTTCACTCTAAAGAATATTTCTTCTTTTTCATGTTGCGTTGAAGTTTTCAGAATTTTTCATACTTTTTTTCGAAAAAAATTTTGTTCATTTCTTCTCTGCTCATTGTGATAAAAAAATACACCTTTTTCACTATCAAAGAAAACATTTTTAAAGAACAACCAGAACAAACATTAAATTTTTTTGTAATTATTCTAACAACCTTTTTCAGAGCTCAAAATCACAGAAAAAAATCTTCCAGAAACATGTTTTTTTCCCTATGTTTATATAAGCGGTTTTGCTAAGGAACTATGATCCTCCAAATCTGAACATTTCAAGAAAAAAATGAGTACAAACCTCTGAGAGCTCAATAATATGTCTATTTAAAGCAATTTAAGAATTTTTCATGAATCCGAACCAAACAAGTTTGGGAAGGAACTACATTTTGAAATCTGTGATCAGTAATATCTCTGTTTTGGCTTTCCCTCCAGGTTTTTCATATTCTTTTTGATACTTATTTTTCTTGTTTTTTTCAGGCTCAGTTATTGTTATTTTTGTGTCAAAAAAAGTGATTTTTGTCTGAAAATATTTTTTTCTTGCTGAAGTTCGCATTTTTTTAAACTTTGAATTCAATTTATACAACGCTTCCAATTTTGGTTCAATTTCGAGAATTCTCCTAGTTTTTGATTAATCAAAGAGAACAAACAAACTCAGATAGTCTTCAAAAGCTATAATGGCCAAAAACTGACAAAAATTTCCTCATTCCGTTTAGAATTTCAAGACAACGACATTCAACTTTCGAATCCCAAAGATCGCGCTTTCCTTTAATCATTGCAAACAAGCTTTGTTCAATTAACGTTTTTGGAGTCACTGCTCACCAACAACGGCAATTCTGTCTTCCAAAAAACGCTAACGATGTTGACGTGAAGATTCTTTTGTCTTTTAAAAAGGAGAACGGCTTTTTTTCCGCTGTTAGACTTTTTTTCCGAAAAAGGCGTTTGTTTTTTTTTTTTGCAATATGTTTTGAGAAACTAATATGTTTCCTTTCATTCTTACGATGAACTTACAAAAAAACATTTGAGAGACCATAGTGCCAGAGGTTGTTGTCATTGCTTAAAAATTAGCGCGGGGCGCAAGCCGCTATTTTTCGGTTGCAATTGAAAAAATTGCTGTTCAGAGTAAAACAGAGAAAAAAAAATGAAATGAGCTCGGATTTCAAAACTACGTGGTCGCACACGGAATGACTCGGAAAATGACATCGCAGTTTTTGTCGATTTTCATAGGTCGCCTGCCACGATAAAGCTCCAAGAAATATTTCAAGTCGATCAGCTGAAAAGTCTGCATAAATAAAAAAATTCAAACAACTTAAAAGTTTTCTCAGTTTTGGCTAACGGTAAATGAAGCTGTTGAACCGACTTCTTGCAGTCTCTCACAATTATTCTAACGGACTCCGGCTCAATTCTTTTCAAGTCGGTACTTTTTGAAACAACTGAGCCGTTCCAGGAGCGACAAAAAACAAAGAAAATATAGGCTTAAGTTTTTTCTATTGAACTGACATTCCGTTATTTTTTGAGTAGCAGCGTCTTTAGTTGAACAAAATCTGGTCCCTTAAAACACTTCTTTATTGGTTTTCATTATTTTTTTCTTTTTTTTAGGTTGTCAATATTCTTCCATTTTATCTGATTTTCAATTGCTTCTTGCAAAAATTACATTTATTTCCGGTCAAACGTTAACTTCATGGCTAACACCCTCTCCATCTACATCTCGAATATCTCAGATCAAATAAAAGAGTTAGTTTTCGTCTTCCTTCTTTTTTAATTGCAGCGTGCCTCCGGATCGACACTTTTCATGCATTCTCAGTGTCTTTTTAATTATCCCGAAATATGGGTTTTTTCTCAAAAATTCAAGAATGAACTAATTTTTTCCTTTCTAAAGTCACTGGAATCTGGGTTGAACTTTTTGAAAAATTGGAATGGGCGAAACTTTCGCAAGAGTGTTCTCGCTGCAGAATCCTCCTTTTTCTCTTCTCATTTAGCTTTCTTGTTGGCCAAACCGATTTTTCTAGTTTCTTCCCAGTTGCAAGATGGAATCAGGTTTGTTTTAGTGGTCAGTTTTGAAAAACTGAAGACTTTACGTCGTGAGTATCCGGCTAGTGTTTTTTTTTTATTGGTCGAACTTAGCACTCTAAAAATTTTTTTCTTTTATAAAATGTCTTTGTCGCACAAATCTTCAAAAGTTTCATTCTGTTAGGATTCAAGGCTCACCCGCACTCAATTTTTCCTTTGGTACTTAGTCAGGGGTTTTTCGGTACTTTTTGTGGTACTAATTGGACTTAACAAAGTGGTATGTCTCCTTGGAAGACGTTTAGTCGGAAGTTTCACATCAGGACAAAAAAGTATGCTTTTCAAACTCAGAGAACTGAATCGATTTTGATATATATCACCTTTGTGGGAAATTATGTAGTTTTCGTCCCTGAAATCGAACTTTTCATGACGATCTTTGGGAACTAAAGTATTCTCGAAAGATTTTAAATGCTCGATAAATTGAAAAAACTAAGAATTCTCAAACTCAAATTATTTCTAGCCCATTATTTTCATTATTTTCAGATGAATACCCAATAGTTTAGAGGAAGCTACCATGACATGTTAAAAAGTATTAGTAAATTTTTTTCGAGTTCTGAAAGATGAATCCTAAAGTTCCATCAGGATCGAGCACATAGAGTACTGTCGTCCGAAACTTTTTCTCCGTTCAAATTACCCCCAACCCAAAACGACTTTTGCCCTTCTGCATCGGAAACCATTAGCGCAAGTCCAAGATTTTGACGAGGCGGATGGCTAAGTGCACGCTTCGAGTTTCAGTTTTTATCGCTTCCAAGCAGTAGAAACTGAAGTCATTCCGAGTGTCACGAAGTCCTTTTTTGTTTTGTGAAGTTACTTCTCATTCAAGATATATTTTTTGAACTGACTTATGAGATGATCCATGATTATCCTTTAACTTCAAATGCCATCAAACCTTGTATTTGGACTTGTTTTTCTTTTGAGGTTTTCGGAAAACGCTTATCGATTTTTGAAATGCATACATCGCGAATTCCATACAAGCTTGAACATATTTTTATGTCAAATTCATTCAGTTTCTATTTCAAAGGTTGAAATTTTTCAATTTGAATGAAAACTAAGCGGCGTTTTCGAGACGTAGCTATTTACAAGTTTGCTTCATTTTTTCTTTATTCTGACCTCTGGAAAGTTTTAGTTTCCGAAAAACAAACATCGCCTTCGGAAATCAGAAGGAACCAGAAGAACACACAGTTTATTTCGCTAGGATTGTTCTAGAACACCCTGATTCAAAAACAGAAAAATTTCTTACTAGTTCAGATTGGTATCCGCAAAGAGACCAAAAACTTAAATTGCGCCTTCTTTCAATTTTATTGCAAGCTCTTGAAGTTTCACGTCATCAAAACTTAAACAAAGGATATTATACATTGTGTCTTTTTGAACGGCTTCTTTTTCTCAGAAATCCCAAAAAGAAACTTCTTTTTGATTCCTTCCTTTCAATTTTCTACTGCTCTCAGTTCAACTGAATGCAAACCATTGTGCTCACAAAGCCTAAGCCGATTAATGAAATTCCTAGAAGATCTTTGTACTTTCTCAACGTTCATGCTCAACTTCTCCCAGTTTCAAGCTTCGTTTCCTTTGCCAGCCGTTTCTAAAGACGCAAAACGCCCTCGGAA